GGGGGTTTCCCAAAGTTTTAAACTTGAGGTTTATCAACAATATGCTCAAACCTGAAGATGGTTTCTCGAATTAAAATAGTTGAGAAGAGTTTTCTTAGATGCACCTCTTATTTAAGGGAGGTTAAGTGAGAAAAGTTTAGGGGTTATCTTAAATTTTCATAGTTGAGGGAGCTATCTACTATATATGTTCAAACTTGAGGGAGGTTTTCCCAAATTAAAATAGTTGAAGGGAGTTTTCTAAAATTGATCCATGAGTTTATATAGATAGGTTCTCTAAATGAGTTTTTTTTTTTAATTTTGATATTTAAATATATGATTATGTTTTTTTATGAATAGTTATAATTTTATAAGGATTACAAAATATTTTATTAGTAGAATTTTCTAATTATTAATAATTTCACTTTAATGAGGATTGTTAGGTGTATATATTTTTATATTTAAATATATGAATATTAGGTTTTATTAAAATATGGATAATTAAGAATAACTAAATATTTGACTAATAGATTTAGTATCCACTTGTCATCTTCTGCTAGGATAGAGAGACATATATATACTTATGATATAACACATGTTCACTTTTTATATCTTTATGATGTGACACGTATTAATTTTTAGTTTCACAAATTTCTCTTTATATGTAAAGTAGAGACAACCTCTAACGGCTTATAAATGAAATATATTGTATCAAAATTAGATTGAGGGCACAATAGTAGCACCTGATGCTCCGAGCACTTGGGATGGACTTGACCCAGGCCAATGGCTACAATTTAAATACATTAATGGGCTTACTGTTGAAGGCCCAGGTGTAATCGATGGCCGGGGATATAATTGGTGGAAGAAATCATGCAGAGAAAATCCCGTGCAGGCACGTGCCAACAAATATCTACTCAAAATTGTTCACAAATTTGTTGCTAATTAAAACATTAAAGTGATAATTTCTTATTTACAAAAATGATTTAATTTGATGGAGTTGAGTTTGAAGTGTGATTTGTTTTGTTGCAGGGATGCACAACTGTAGCTCCAACGGTTTGTAACTTCCTGCCCACTACTAGTTGATGCCCAAAAAATAAAAGAAGGGGAAAAACAATTGTTACACCCCATGGCTTTTTTTTTTTTTTTTTTTTTTAAATTAATCCAAATACAAACATCATTATACTAGATGTTCGAAAAATAGGGCAAATTTCACAAAACCACCTTTAGATTTGGTTGTTTATGAGGTAACCATCAAAACTTAAATTAGTGTCACTTAGGCCCCTTATACTTTTTCAAATAACTCTCATACTAATGATTATTACATCTGATTCCGCATCTGAAAATCATGAGCATCGAAATAAGAAAATGCTCCTAAAGGGGGAGGAGAAAAAAAATTTTGTTAGTCACTAATATTTTTACAACTTTTTTCAATTTCATCAAACATCACTGGAGTTTGTTAAAAAACTGAAAACGTTCGGTACCGAAACTCCAAAGGGAGTTGAGTGATATTTTTGAAGTTTAGGAGGTAATCTCAAACTTGGCTAAACTAAGGGAGGAGTTTTCGTGCGCGTCTCTTTCACTACTTATACTTCATGAAATCTTACGTCAGGCCCTAAAATTCTTCGCATGCAACAACCTCCAAGTGAGCAACCTAACCTCAGTCGACAGTGCCCAAACGCACCTAGTGTTCCTAGGCTGCCAATGGGTCGGTGCCAACAACTTGACCATCATGGCCCCCGGTGACAGCCCCAATACCGACGGTATCCACATCCACGCTTCCCAACACGTCAAGGTTCAGAACTCGAACATAGGCACAGGTACGTATGCACGGGATCATCCTTGACACTACAACTCTATAGAATATCACATTAGAAATAAAGAGAAACTTGACACATGTTTCCCGGTATGAATGTTGTAATTGATGGATAATAATCATCCAACTTTATTTTTTTTTATTTTTTTTTTTGTTAGGACATGTGTTTCTTCGATCCTTTTTGATAATCTTTTAGGACAAAATCACAGGAGCTAGTACATGCACGTGATCAGCCCTCACACTAACATGTATAAAATATCATATAAGGAGGAAAATGATATCGACATGGGTTTCCTAAATAGTCGTAAAGTTAATGGTTGATAATCATTCAACTTGAACTTTTTGTCGAAACACATGTTGTTGTTTTTTAATCTGTCCTAAATAGCCAAAGGTATTTATAATTAATCTTTCTTCTTTTTTTTACTTTTGATCAAAAGCACCTTTAATTACATGTATGTTTGTCATTATCACACCTAATTGACTTTTCAGCTAAAAAATGTGTGAAATTCCATTTTATCCACGACCTAAAGCACATGTAAAGCATGTATTACTTACTTAATTATGAACTTCAGAACACTCACTTAAATATCCAAATTCCAACCCAATTCCCAAACCCTAGTTCACAATTCAAAAACTCTAATCTTACCTTCTCTCTAATCTAATTAAGAAAACCATACTTCAATCCTCCCCCAAACCCTAATCTCACCTCCTCTTAATCTTATCTCCCTCCCACCCTCTAATCCAATAAACACCCCCCCACCCCCCAACGTCCCCACCTCAAAAAAATAAAAAATAAAAAGACGCCTTGCTAAGGAGCAAAAAATTGATAATCTTGATCTCCCCCTAAGCGTCTCCAAAAAGAACAACATCGGTTTGGGGGACTAATTTAAAAACATGATATTTGTGAAACTACCCTAGAGGGGTGAGGTGAATAGGGTATTTGCTAATCTAATCCGATATTAATGCTAATTTAAAAATTATTAACAATTATATCTTAGCAAGTATGATATTTAACAATTTATGCAAGGATGTGTAATTAAACCAAGGGCGATATAACCATGAGACAATGGCAATATATAAATATGATAAGCAATGAGCACAAGAATAATACGCCAATGCAAACTCAAACACGCAATATGATCACGGAGTTCGGTCACCCTCGACCTACATCTCCGCTCCTCAGTCACGAGGAGAATCTGCACTATCACAACCGGTTTTCAACGTTCACCGAAATGTTTACAACTCACACAATCAGTTTTCTAGCTCACCGAAAACTTTCACAACTCTCACAAATGCAATCTCACAATACACCCTCTAAGTGTTAGCCTAGTCTGTGTCGTCTTCCTCAAGTGCTCGGATTTACAACCTCTCTCTAGGCTTTACTACCGATGTTACTCCTTTTGGAATCGATCTCATCTCTCACCACACACTCCTCTCAATGTACTTTGTGTATTACAAAGTGATCTCACAAATTAAGCATAGGTAAACATAATTTGTTCTTTATAATGGATGATAACGAATTGTAAGCTCACACTCAATGATACAATCTCACAACCCCAATATACTATGTATGAAATACTTAAGCTCAAGTGGGTGTGTGTAATCAATGAGTAATAATCAAAACTAAACTCAATATGAAATCTAGCTTAATGAAATGGTTAATCAACAAATAAATATATAAACCTAGAAATTGAGTTTAGAGAAAACATCTCTAAAAACAAGAGTGATGGTGGTGAGAAATTGAAGCTCAAACAAGAATGAATAATCTCCACTTCCTATTGTGAAAACTTCTTCACAAACAAACTCTTAAACAAACTTAAATCCTTGTTAAAATTGTTTTAAAACTTTCTTGAGTGGTTGGAATGTTTAATGCAAAGGGGCATATATAGGGTAGAAAAACTAAGCCCAAGAAACTAGCAAAAACCAACAAAAATCACAAAAACAACAAAATCTGAAAAATAGTCGTTACTGTGCAACGGTCATATTATGAGTCGACTTATGACAGGCATGAGTCGACTTATGTTGTAATGAGTTGACTTGTTATATTATGAGTCGACTCAGCAGATAAAAAACACCAATTGCGCAACACTTTATAAGTCGACTTGGTACTGTAGCAAGTCGACTTAAAACGTGCACAGGACGTGATATGAACAGTAAAGATCAACTTTAAACATTATTTAAAAATATCAAATAAATTTCAAAAAAAATGTAAAACTTGGGAAAATATTTATAAACATGAAAATAAACATGTTACAAAAAGAATTTTTCAAATATTATTCCCTGTTTGTGAAATCCCTACGTTTTACAAAACTTGTAAATACATGTGTATATAAAATTCTTGATTTTTTACTTATGAGTTAAACAATGTTTTGACATTTTTCAAGATGATGTTATAGACTTAATAAAAGATGTATAAAGAGAAATTTAACTCTATAAACTAATAACTCGATATTTTGTCAAAATTACTCAAAAACAAGAATTGTGTGTGTGATATTGAGCTTAAAGCATTTACACACAATATAAAAAATCCTAAACTAGTGTACCAAGTTGATTTGCACATGAAGCTTGATTTTGGATCTTGACTTGACTTGTATTTGCTCCATTTATAATATAGCTTTTGAATCATTCAACCTGGGTAGATAACACAAGCACTAGAAAATATTGTTACAAATTGTTTGTTAAATCATCAAAACAATATTAGAGAAGTAGGCTCGTCACATGATTCCTAATAATTTGAGGGCATTCATAGCAAATATGAAAGATTTTTAAAAGTACAGGTTTTTTTAAGCTAAAAAATCGAGTAGGTGTGATATTGCAAAAATATATGCTACCAAAGGTAATTTCGAATAAAAAGAAAAAGAAAAGATGGTAATTACCAATTTAGATAAAAATTAGATGGTTTTCATGAAAAACCCTTCTTTCTTCTTTTTAAATATGTACCTAAGACACTTCTCGAGATCTTTGTCCTCCTCCCTAGGGCTGTCCATCCGGGCCGGCCCCGCCCGGGAAACCGGGCCCGGGCCGGGCAAAACCCAAGCCCGGACCCGGGCCCGGGTGGTCCGGGCCGGGCCCGGGCCCGGGTCCGGGCCCGGGCCCGGGTCCGGGCCTGAGCGGGCCGGACACCGGGCCGGCCCGGTTTGATTTTTTTTAAGAATTTTTTTTTTGTTTTTTTTTATTTTTTTAAAATTTTAACAAAACCATAAATCATAAATTATTTTAACAAAACCATAAATCATAAATTATTATAAAAAATATCATAAATGTAATTAATAACTTGAAATGAAATGACATAAATTACAAGTACAAAAAATGATAAAAATAACTTCTTTATTAATAATCGGTAAATCCTTTACAAGTATAAATTTATTTCGAAATTCGTCGCATCACAATAGATGAGTACATCCCAACTAGGTTGGCACCTACTCACCCATATCACTATCATTTGCAACTTTTTTCGAAATAATTTAATTCAAATTTAAAGCTAAGAAATAAAAATTACAATTTTATGAATATTATCTAATCATTATATCTATCTGCTAGTCCCAACTCTTCAAATTTATCTTCAATCATAGCAATCCGTTCGATGCCTTGTGTTCGCTTCTCGTATCTCCACCAATCCTGTAAGCACATCACCGCTTGTACAGTATACGGATCTAAGCATGTCCTGTGGTCGTCGATCAAACGTCCTGCTGTGCTGAAAGCGGATTCCGAGGCTACAGTCGAAACCTGCACTGATAGTAAGTCACGAACCATGGTGGAAAGTATAGGATATGAAACTGATCCATATACTTTCCACCATTGCAAAATATCTAAAGCATTTCCTTGACATCTAACTAAAGAAGCAGAAAAATATTCATCTATTTCAGAAACATCTAATCCTGATGAAGTTCCAGATCCACCAGTTAGTTCAGCTACCATTGCATACCTATCAAAACTTACACTTTTACCTCGACCTGTGCTCGAAGCTGAAGGTGCCGAAGCTGAAGACTGTTGTGTAGCTACACCATATCTAGCTGCATACTCATCATATAAGGTTTGAAAATAATTTCTAATAGCTAAATAATGAGTAGTAGCAGTAAGGGTGGATCCATCATCTAAGTCTATAATCTGTCCACCATACAATGATTGTAACAAACTTCGAAGGCCAATTTCCTTCAAGCATGGATCAATAAGAACACCAATACCAAAAATATGAGGAATAGGCCTAAAATACTTATTAAATTTACTCTCCATTTCAAAAATTATACTTCCAAAAATATCATCCATACGATATTTTGTAAAATTTTTTTGAATATTTAAAATTTGTAAAGCAGCTAAAGTAATAGTTGGATAATAACAACCAGATAATAACATAGTAGCATCATAAAAAACTTGTAACATCTCATTTAATTTACATATAACTGTCCATTCATCTTCAGTTATTCCATAAGCACTACCAGAGCTAGAACTAGAAGCATAAAAATTTATAAAATCATTTATAATTTCTTTATATTCTATTGCTACAGATAACATTGCATAGGTGGAATTCCACCTATGGTCAACATCTTTTGGAATTAGTCTAGGCTTATAATTTTTTCTTTTACAACATTGTTTCCATCTTTTAATTCTCATTTCAGAAGCATTATGCATATTAGTAACTGTTCTAACTTTTTCTATCATGGGTTTAATTTCAGAAAATGCACTTTGAACAATTAAATTTAAAATATGACAGATACATCTAACATGAAAAAGCTCACCATGACATGGCAATGACAAAGTTATTTTCAGAAAATCAACAGCTACATTATTATTACTTGCATTATCTAGTGAAAGAGTAAATTACTCACCCATATCACTATCATTTGAAACTTTTTTCGAAATAATTTAATTCAAATTTAAAGCTAAGAAATAAAAATTACAATTTTATGAATATTATCTAATCGTTATATCTATCTGCTAGTCCCAACTCTTCAAATTTATCTTCAATCATAGCAATCCGTTTGATGCTTTGTGTTCGCTTCTCGTATCTCCACCAATCCTATAAGCACATCACCGCTTGTACAGTATACGGATCTAAGCATGTCCTGTGGTCGTCGATCAAACGTCCTGCTGTGCTGAAAGCGGATTCCGAGGCTACAGTCGAAACCTGCACTGATAGTAAGTCACGAACCATGGTGGAAAGTATAGGATATGAAACTGATCCATATACTTTCCACCATTGCAAAATATCTAAAGCATTTCCTTGACATTTAACTAAGGAAGCAGATAAATATTCATCTATTTCAGAAACCTCTAATCCTGATGAAGTTCCAGATCCACCAGTTAGTTCAGCTACCATTGCATACCTATCAAAACTTACACTTTTATATCGACCTGTGCTCGAAGTCGAAGCTGAAGGTGCCGAAGCTGAAGACTGTTGTGTAGCTACACCATATCTAGCTGCATACTCATCATATAAGGTTTGAAAATAATTTCTAATAGCTAAATAATGAGTAGTAGCAGTAAGGGTGGATCCATCATCTAAGTCTATAATCTGTCCACCATACAATGATTGTAACAAACTTCGAAGGCCAATTTCCTTCAAGCATGGATCAATAAGAACACCAATACCAAAAATATGAGGAATAGGCCTAAAATACTTATTAAATTTACTCTCCATTTGAAAAATTATATTTCCAAAAGTATCATCCATACGATATTTTGCAAAAAATTTTTGAATATTTAAAATTTGTAAAGCAGCTAAAGTAATAGTTGGATAATAACAACCAGATAATAACATAGTAGCATCATAAAAAACTTGTAACATTTTATTTAATTTACATATAACTGTCCATTCCTCTTCGGTTATTCCATAAGCACTACCAGAGCTAGAACTAGAAGCATAAAAATTTATAAAATCATTTATAATTTTCTTTATATTCTATTGCTACAGATAACATTGCATAGGTGGAATTCCACATATGGTCAACATCTTTTGGAATTAGTCTAGGCTTATAATTTTTTCTTTTACAACATTGTTTCCATCTTTTAATTCTTATTTCAGAAGCATTATGCATATTAGCAACTGTTCTAACTTTTTCTATCATGGGTTTAATTTCAGAAAATGCACTTTGAACAATTAAATTTAAAATATGACAGATACATCTAACATGAAAAAGCTCACCATGACATGGCAATGACAAAGTTATTTTCAGAAAATCAACAGCTACATTATTATTACTTGCATTATCTAGTGAAAGAGTAAATATTCTTTGATCAATTTCTAGTTTCATAAGTTCTTCAACAATTAAATTTGCAACATTAATACCAGTGTGTGACTCTTCAATTGCAATAAAAGAAACAACTCTTTTAAACATTTTCCAACTTTCATCAATCCAGTGTGCTGTTATACATAAATAACCAGTTTGCACTCTAGATGACCAAATATCAGAAGTTAAAGAAAATTTGCAGTTTAAATTTTTAAAATAAGAAATTATTTTTCCCTGTTCCTCAACATAATATTTTAAAATATCACGTTGACAGGTTTGACGAGAAAATTTTGTAAATGCAGGATAAAAACCATCTCTAAATAAATCTTCAAATTCATCATCTTCTACTAATTTAAAAGGAAGGTTTTTAAGAACAATAAACCTGATTACGCATTTCCGGGCTCGGGCAGCGTCATAATTCCAACTGCCGAGGGTACCTGAAGAGGATGATTGGGAAAGCATAGACTGCCGGATATCACCTTGTAGATTTTGGCCTTTGTTGTGTTTTTCAATATGCCGTTTGAGATGGTTGGTGCCGCTCTTATGATGAGCTTTGAATATCTGGCCGCACAACGCACATTTCGCATTCTGAGAGATGATCCTACCGTGTTCATCCTTGGTGACGTCTATCTTCTCAAAAAAATTTCATACATCAGACCTCGGCCTTTTTGGTGCTCTCGGTGCCGTAGATTCGTCGCCACCAGATTCAGGATTAACACCGGTAGGATGAGGAATTGTTGTAGGAGGACTCATCTCTGGATCGGTAGGAGTTGCATGTTGCTCTTCATAATCAGACCCAGAAGCCATTTGTTGGAAGTATTAGAAAATACAAAAGATTATAGGATAGTATATTAGTATGAGATAGTATAAGATTGTATAAGAGAGTAGTAGAGAGAGAAATAGATGAGTTTTGTTGTGAGAAAATGAATTGAAACCCCCCCTCTATTTATAGAAGCAGCCCCCTAGGTAAATGACCAAAAAACCCTCGAAAAATAGCCGTTTTTTGACCGTTTTAAGGGGCAAAACGGTCAAAAGACCAAATCTGGCCGTTAGGCCAGATTTGGCCCGGGCCGGGCTGGGCAACGGTCACCTTTGTGACCGTTATGGCCGGGCCGGGCCGGGTCGGGCCGTCTCTAAACCGCCCGAACCGAATTAAACCGGTCTGGATCCGGTTTGAACCCCTGAACCGCCCAAAAAAAACCGAACCGAATTCTTAAACAAAAAGTAGCTGCGAGCCTTGGGTGTGAAGAAAATTTATGGCTGAATGTTTAGCATTTAAGAATTGTGGGGTGGAGTTTATACTAACATATATTTGAGTACGCTGATATAGTTAAGTGAGATTTCCGTAAATCAATACAAGATGTTGAGGTTGAAGGATAAATTTAGTGTTTTGGTCAAATTTCAGTGATAACATGAATACAGCTTGCTGGTGCTGGATATCAAATTAACCTATAGTATAGGCTGTCAAGGATATAAGATAATTCTTGATGAGAAAAAGGCAGCTAAAAATTAACGAAAATCATCAAAAGGTGTGTGTGACTGCCAAACATTGTTCTTTCTCTAAAAAAAGCTACATAATTACATGGTCCTCCTAGTGTATTAAGCTAGTTATATTCACATCATACAATTTGATTAAGTGGCTTAGTACAGTTTTGATTGTTTCTTTTCAGTTTTGATTGCTTCTTTTCAGTTTTGGATATAACTAAAACTTACCCAGATTTTTGTGAAATGGAGTTAATTCGGTTCAAAACCGAAACCGAACCGAACCGAACCGAATTTCGGTTGGGCCGAATATTCGGATGAGGGGGAAAAAATCTGGATCTGGATGAGAGTTTTGAGAATTCGAAAAATTCGGATTGGATGCGGATTGGGCTTAAAACCGAACCGAACCGAATACGCCCAGCCCTACCCCTACTCCTCCCTTTATGATTTTCTACGTTAAGATCCTCTACAAGTTTTAATCTATTTCAGTTTTGTGATTACAGGTGATGATTGCATCTCTGTTGGAGACCACGTGTATGATATTGGCATCGAGAACATAAATTGTGGTCCGGGTCATGGCATAAGGTATTATATTTCCTATAAGTTATTGCTACTTAATTTGTTGAAATATATATTACGTTGCTTTTTATAGTACTGTGTTTTTTTTTTCCCCGTAGAAGGGTGTGATTTGGTTGTTATTCTTAATGATTTTGTAGTGTTGGAAGTTTGGGGAGAGGAGGGACTGAGGCATCGGTTGAAGAAGTTCACGTGCGATACGTATATTTTCAGAACACAACCAACGGAGCAAGAATCAAGACATGGCAGGTATCAAGCATGTAGTTAGCAACAGATTAAGCTATAAACTCAAACTAAAGAATATTAAGAATATGAAAATATAACCCTCAATCCTCATTCAAACTTAAGTTTTTTTTTAATTGATGGATCATTTAAAATGATATCAGAGCGCGCAACCTAGGTTAAAACCCCACAGACTATAAATTTAGTGCGGATTTTCTAAAAATTAACACCGGTGCATAAGTCTGGATTTTGGCCCATTGAAAGAGCGCTAAACTTGTAGAGGCACGTTGAATATAAAATATAACCATCAACTCTCACCACAACTTTGAAAAAAAAGTTATGTTTAGGAACCTTAAGAAAATAGGTGGATTGCTTGTGACTTGGAAAAAGTCGGAATTTAAATTACGCTGCCGACATATGTAGAGAAATTTCCTCCTCCTTGAGAATGTATTTATACAGCATTTATAACCCGGTTCTTCTCTGAGTTATTAGTTTGTTTTTTTCACAGGGAGCAAAAGGATATGCAAAAGGGATTAAATTCGAGTACTGTATTTTCAACAACGTACAAAACCCTATCGTCATTGATCAATATTATTGTGATGTTCGGGGCAAATGCAAGGATGAGGTATCCAAAACTTCTTTTACGTTACGATCTTTTCTTCCTTTGAGAATAATTGTGGCTATAATATATATCCTCCAAGTTTTACATGCTCTAGTTTTCTCTTTTAAAAAAAAAAACCAAAATAATGCACTCAATTTTCGGGTCAGGAGTAGATACATACGACAGGAGATAGCCAATCGTTGGCATCAGCGGACGTTAAGTGTTACTGAAAAAAGTCGGAAGAATAATAAGCAGCTAAGCCCCTATAATACAGGGGATATATATGCGATCAACCCCATAATTTGTCGTGCGTGTTTTCGGGTCTTTTGCTAACTCAATTTTCTTGCTCATGATGCAGCCAGCAGCAGTGCAAGTGAGCAATGTGAGTTACGCAAACTTCCAAGGAACTTCACAAACCCCATTTGCAGTAAGCATGAACTGCAGCCAAGCCATCCCTTGCACTTCCATACAATTCGATACCGTGAACCTCACAATGGCAACTAAGGAGGCAGACACCAAAGCATACTGTATCAATGCTTACGGAAACACCATGGGATTTATCCATCCAACTCTTGACTGCCTCCGCCGTTGAAAAAAGAAAGGTTGGATTTTAATCGGTGTGTTAATGATCTTTCTGGTCGAGTGTAATAAGGGTACAAGATGAGACGGACGCTGAAAATAACATATCTACTGTTTAAATGAGACGTGACTTTGGGAACTTAATTCTACAATGCCAGATAAAAACGAGACAAATTTTCAACATAAACCCTATCAATAACTTATTTTTAAAAAGCGACACCTTTGAGATTTAAATCCCGTGAAGTTTAGCACATAACTAATCACATTAATGAAGCTTCAGAAGAAATACATCCAAACTTCACGGGATCACGGGATTTAAAATCCCGTGAAGTTGCAAGCGCATTTTTACAAAGAGCTCGATACGAGCTCTTTGACAGATACCCCCGTACAACTTCACAGGATTTCAATTCTTTGTCACAATCAACATAATGTTATGATCATGAGCATTCAGAATAAAACAGAAATTGCCGGCTCACAATTAGACAATTATCAATTGTTGAGAAAGATAGAATTAGACAGCATGCTATTTGTAGGATTTGACAAGCCACTTCAAGATATCGAGCTTTTGATGGGTGCGTGTTAAAGAAAAGCATTATAATATCAAAGCAGCAACTCTTCCCTTTTTTTCTGCTCTGCATAAATTTGCACTCTATTATTTCTTCAGAAACAAACGAATATGACAACAGATGAATACTGCTAAATGGCACCATCAACTGCCTGTCTGAAGCAAAATAACATGCAACTTACCACTAATACACTAAAGCAAGTGCATATGGCACTCTTCCTTCGACAATTAGCTTCTAACTTAATCCAAACAAATAGAAGAGGCCTAGAAAAAACAGAACCAAAGCAGCAAGTATGACAGCAAAATGTAAATTCTGCCACTGCTCGAAAAAAATTGTTATGGGAAGTCTGTATCTGCAAGTGTACAAGCATTAGCTTTTTTACAATTTGAAGTCATAATCTTAGTAGGCTTTAACTTCTTTCGATTTGAAGTCATTATCCTATTATGCGGGCTTTGCTTTCTTTCAGTTCGAAGTCATAACCTTGAATCACAGGCTTTTACATTACATGAATACAAGGTTTTTCCACTGCCTTCTTCGCTACATCTATTTACAATTGAAAGTCAAAAATAGAATCATAAATTGGTATATAATATTTCTTCCTAATTGCCATTACTTTGCCCCCAGAAAAAGCAAGCGAAGTAGTTAGTAGCGTCACACATCAGCTTCAACCTTACAAGTAAAAGGGAAGTACAAGGACTGCATATCATCTCGGTATCAGCTTCACAGCATCTCCATTTAACTGATGAGTGGCATATATCTTAATATGTTCTGCATTTCAAGAGGGGGCATATCACGAACAAAATAGTCGAGCTCAAGGAGAAAACTTCAAAAATTACATTTGACTTCAGGCCCAAGCTCAAATGGTTCCTCCTCTAGGACCTAGGTTCCTACAGGAACTCGCCCAGAGTCTGATGAGACATCTCCGGGAAGGTGTAGTACCTTTTCTAGGGGGCCAGATTCCTAACAGAAATTTCCTTGAGAGTGCTTACAGATCTCTGGAACAATTTCAGAGCTTGTCCAATTTTCTCCTGCAGTAAGAAGCAGAAGTAACACAAAACGGAAATACAACATCGGTTAGTCACGGCTACATGGTCCAAACATGGACGTGAATGTCAGATACATAACACAAAATGCAAGTGATTTATGTACCTCTGCATTTTATGTCACTCGTAAATTAACTTATCATTCAAATAACCCATCTGCTAACAATGTGAAACCACATTGTCAGCACTAGTAGAAAAAGGGTTTGCTATTGTTGTTGTTGATTTATGTGAAACCACATATCTAACCCATTCCATTAGCTCCACACACTTACGAATCAACTGTTTTTTATCAGCAATAACTGGTGTTGCTCATACATTTACCACATTTGTCTTTCATTAATATACAACCTAATACAGTTCCGCCCCTATAAAAAACAAATCTGACCAATATATTCATACATGGCATCATAAAGAAAATTAGGATGAATAACTGGGGGAAAAACAAAAAGCAAATAGGCCTAGTAACTATAGCTTCACAGTGGGAAACAATAAAACTCAATACAAAGCACAATTGTCATTTGATATCTGTTGAAGTATTCATTCGATATACCAATCATGGCGGCTTACGTTTGATTTAAATATTGACACATTCAGTATGCTTAATCAAGTGGAAAAAAATTACGATGCCTCAAATTTTGAGAAAACATGATCATGTAATTGGCTCATCTGGTCGTATGGAATCAGGCTTCTTGGTAAGAAACAAATGGCAGTTTAGCCAGCATATGAAAAAGGAAATAAAATGTCAGAATTCTAATGAATAGTAACTGGTGGTTGCATGCTTACAAGATACAGACATGAGAAACTAGGTATCAATTATTCATCACACAGTTTGGTTCATATACACATATCATACCTCCCTCAACTGCTCTAGTCTTTCTAATGTTGGATGTAGCTTTCCACACAATAAAGAAAGGTCATTCGAGTCAGTATTCCTGCAATTTGACATGACCACAATATTAGCTAAAATAATATACAACATAGAAATAATTAGGATAGAAGTGAAAGCACCCCCCATCCTTGAATGTGAATCACTATGATTTTGCTATATTTCCAATACATAATGACTTTCTCAGCTCGGCATAAATACGTGTGAACTAAAACGCCCTCTATGATTGGCCATAGGCCATAACGATCAACAAAGCACTTCTTGTTGAACCCAAATATCATGCCAGCAAAAAGATACGGTATCATGTATCCTACGTTTGATTTCTTGCGAGTCTAATAGAAATCAAAGACCAACAGAGGGAACACATCACTTCTCCCATTTCCATAATATAGAGTACAAAACAATTTCTAATTTCACTTATAATTATGTCATCATATGAAAATACTAAAAGAGCAGTAGACATACTCATCCTGTAAATGGATTAGAAGAATGTTAAAACAACGTTCTGCAAGCCGAAGCAACAGAGTAATTAGTTGATCCCGACTCCCAACAATGCGACACATTTCTACCATTGCAATGTATCTCCTGTAATAAAACAACCCAAGATACCATTCAGTGACGTAAATATCAATCTTACTACCAGTTCAAAAATGCAAACTGAAAAATAAGAATGAAGCCTACAGCAGCACAAATGAAAAAAAATTGTATAGAAATAACTGAAAAGCACAGCCTTGACAGACTTGCAGAAATACCTAAATACAAAATATAAAGGTAGTTTCCGAGCAAAGTAGCTTCTTCAATAGATGTTAATCATGTTATATATGATTTGCAAAGAGTTAATTAAGAAAATTGAAAATTTAAGATCAAGTATAAATGCCATGATGGAGCAGTGCACTGGAGCATCTCCACTAACACTGAATTTTTCCCTGCCTAACTAGAACAACCGTGGGTTGGCTATAGGTCCAGGGTTCAAGATCAGACTACAACCTTTATTGAGAGAAAATTTAGCTAAGAACATAATTCTACTTAACAGTAATTTAAAGGTTATAGGAAAGGGCAATCAGATAGTTAAAAATTTATAAGAAGTAAATATTTAAAATTTTGATAATAAAGAAAATGGTACAAAAACAATGTTACCGCTTCCGAATATTATCATGTGAAGATATGCAGTCTTGTCTGGTGCAAGCAGTGATAATTTCATCAACCTCCTGTCTAGATAGTTCATTGATATCTTGGATCTGAAATAAAAGAGAAAACAAGCAGTTACATGTAATATATGAGAACATATCAAATAAGCCTTTTCTAAATTATTTTGTAGTCTAAGAACCCATTCTTCTTGAGATGGTACATGAAACCATTCTACTAATCAAATTTCTGTTGTTTTCTTAATGCCAGAGCAAGTGAAGGGAAACTTCATTTTGGTAACCATGCATGCATCCTTCACATTCATTCATCCACTACCAACAGCAATAGTAAATATTTTCTTATAGACAATAAGACATCAAACTAAATAAGATGTGTCCAAATTGTGTAACATAAAAAATTTTAATTACTTCAAATTGATTAACAGCTTGGCTTACTAGTCCAGATAAACCATGAGTTATGAAGGAGATAATTCACATAAGATTATAAAAGTTCATAAAAAAAGAGACCAAATAGGAGCCCGTGTTATCGAGGCGCGCGCCTCGGGCGCGGGGCGCTGCAGGTTGGGGCAATTACGCCCCGCACCAGAGGCGGGGCGCTGCACGCACACGAGGCGCGCGCCTCATGTGCGCTTGACACTTGCATCATGTAATAGACTCTTTCTTCTATTTTTTTTAAATAATTTACATATTACATATTTACATCATGTAATAGACTCTTTCTTGCTAGTTGTTAATCCATTCTCCATCTTTTCATTTCATGTTTAACCTATAAAAAAAATAGTAATTAGTAATTTAATATACTTGTTTGCTAACAATAACTTCCTTTTCTAATTAGCATGCTAACTAGAAATTATGAACATGTAAATATGTAATTGTTATATTCATTCTCCATCTTTTCATGCTAACTAGCAAATAGCAATTAAGAATGCTAACTAGAAAATTATGAACAGTCATATTTGTTAATCATTTAATTGTTACTTAAAAATACATATATCAATTTTAAATAAAAATACATATTTCTTATTTGTTACTTGCTTGTTTTGTTTCATAGGCTTCTGCTTATGTTGGAGATTATCTTGCATTGTGATTTGTGAAAACTTATGAACTTCTCTATGTTATGCATGCTAATTAAGACTCTTTCGTGATTTAGTATGTGAAATTATATTTCTTAGTTTTTTTATGTTACAATTTATAAACATGTTGCTTATATGCTTTTTTATCTTATGTTGGAAAATGTTAGTTTGAGTTATGCGCATCAATTCAGTGAGGCGCGCGCATCGTTGTGTGCCTTGCGCATGGTGCGCATAAGGGGCCTTTGCGTCCCGCATTGCGCCTCGCGCCTCGATAACACTGATAGGAGCAACTATATATACAACAGACAGTACCTTGTTGAGCAGTAAGAATTTTTCTTCACCAGTTCTCTCCAAAGCAACAGTAATTGAATAAAGAAGGTGTACAAGTGAAAGTAATGTAGGTTGCTGCTGTCCAATAGAGTCACTACTATCGCCAGTACCATCCAACACCTGTCAACAAAGAAGTTGGCAGAGCAAAGAAAGAAAACCAGATCACACGAAATATAATGAAATCCAATCAAACAATGAGCATATTTCGACAAAGAGGAAAATTAAAAAATTAATAGCCAGGTTTGTAATAAGCATATTGCAAACAATCTGAAATCAGGAGGTTAGTTTAAACTTAAAAGACATAATATTAAGTATTACGATTAATTATTACCATTTCAAGAAAATGGAACTCGTGCCTTGTACCATGTACAAGAACACTAGGGCAAATCAGGAAGCTTGATATGACATCTCTAGTGGGGGAAAAAATAGCAACTGCACTTATATACTGATATCCTACTACTAGGCATTAAAAAAAAGGAGGAACATAATCACAAATGTCTATAGCTCGAAAAAAAATATCCCAAGATAAATTGAAAACTGGCAAATGGGAAATGGTGAAATGAAGGTTGAAAACTGAATTCATTACCAGCAGTGCACATTTCTTGGAAATGCAATAAACAAATAGATAGAAAACAAAAGGTAAATTGTGGACACACTCTTGCATACAAAGGGAAAATCAAAATGTATGCAACTCCTCTAGCTGGTTACATATATGCATAAATGTGCATGAACAAATGTGCACACTATACACAAATGACAAATATAAATACGATGATGACAATATAGGTTATCCTTTTACAATGTGAAACCACTTTAACTAACCTGCAACCTCAAAAGCTTCTTAGTCACCAGAAAATACAGGTAAGAGCTCAGGCTAAAAGATAACTGGAACATGAACAACTGTAACTTCCTTTGTTTCTGTCAATTTACAAAAGTTAAAAGTTAAAAAAAATAAAAAAAAAAGTGCACATTATTAAGATACTTATTCATGGATATAACATACATATGGATACACAGACGTATCTAGGTACGCATGTATATAAATTAAATTGTCTGGAAGGAAAATGCATACCTCGACGGAATCAGATGATTGCATAACATTGTTGGAACCAAAATCAAGTTGGAAAAAATATTCCATCATGCTAAAAAGTTCTTGAACAAAACCATATTCATCGCTTTCTTCATATGGCCAGACCTGTATATAATACATATTGAGAGCTAATGCCATGTCCAGCCAATAGCTGTACAAAAGTGGAACTTCTAACATTAGGAAAAGTTTACAAGGCATACCTTGCTGAGTATAGAAACAACAAGATTGATTCTTTCTAAGGCTAATTCATTAGCTCCTGAGACATCCTTCAGAATTTGATAAAAAGTTGACTGGTGACACTTGACAAAATCTATTATCTCACGTACAATTTTGTTTTTCACCTGTGAAAGATAAAAGAATATAAAACCTTTTAAGAATGACTGTACAGAAAAAAAAGTCTAGTATAGCGACAATTATAGGAGGTACAAAGGGAAATACCAAGTATAGCCTTTCATGATTGTTATGAATTGAAACCAATATTAGTTCAGGCCTAATCAGTTCCTTAATTGAACTGTCATAAAGTGTATGGTTGATGCACCTCTTTTGATATCATAGACAAGAATCAAGACCGTCTTTTAGTAGTATTTCAGTCATCTTTTGTTATTATTTTAATTTGTAAGATTATGAAAAGATAGCAATCTGAAGCAATCTGAATCATAGAAAACTTGGAAAATAATATATTCAGCCCCAAGGGCCAGTCAACCATGATAACTCACGCTTTCCCTCAACTTTATTTCCATTTCTTTTTAATATCCCATTCACTACCTTTCTGAAAAGAATGACACCAGAACAAATGGCACATTTACAAAAGATTTTATTGAAGAAATTACATCCATTTACCCCATATTCTAAATTTACCGCTCCATACTTGAGTGCTCCATTTTTCAAGGGGCACATGGCTCAACAGATTTAAATCCTTAAATCTAACCTTACTCTCACTTTCAACAATATCCTTAAATCTAACCTTGTCATGTTAAGAGACTCAGTGATACTTTTACAGTTCTTTAGACCTTACAAATTCCTTAAAACATAATATTATTGTCTATAACATCTGTATATGTGCATCATTGATATTTACACTCACACACCCACACCCACACCCACACCCACACCCACAAAACCAATGGTTGACAACATTTCAGGGCTCACTAGTTCCATTCTAGGGGGCACTAAGATAATAAAATTATCTCAACAAGAAACCAGTCGCATCCAAGCACTGCCAGGTCACTATCATATTTCCTTCTGTTCTAGACTATCTTGACATCATGAAAGCCTTAACCATCCTCAGCGATAGTTGCCCATTATTAAATGACATAAAAAACCCTACTAATATTAGTTTGGTCCTAAAATAAAAAAAACTTAACCCTTAAATGGTCATAACTAACAAGAACAAAGTGATTAAAGAAATGGTTAAGTATCAAAAATTAAGAACCTAGGAAAAAATAGTACATTGAATAGCAAAATTTCATGAAACTAAAAATTAAAGAGAACTGGGTTACATGTTGTTAGTTACTTGGTTTCGTATGATGAAAAAAAGATATATTGACTTTACAATGCAATGAAACATGACTAAAAGATGCAATAAGTATTCTGTGTTTCTGAATATTGTCAGATACACATAAGTAGAAATAAGAAGAATAATAGAAAATGCGTATGGACTGCAGGAGAACCTCTAAGAAATCTGATGTTTCAACCAGTGATGTTAGGCTTGAGACCAATCTCAATATTGGAGTTACAAGCAAAGTCTGCTTATCAACATCTCCAGCATGACCTCCGGCAATACTAGAGCCACCTCGTCTAGCGATTCCCTAAGAGAATGCAATTTATACAAGTCAGGTATATATGACATAAGAAATGAAAAAAATAAAAATAAAAATAAAGCACAACCTTGGTATGCAAACCAACAGCTCTGCATGAGCCAATATGTTCCAAAGCGCCCATAGATAGTAGAATCTGAGCTCCGTGCTTATTGTAGTGGTGGCTAATTCTCAAAAGCAACAAGAGTTGTGCTTCAAGGGTGCAGAAACGTTGCAAAGATTCTAATGAACACCGACCATCCTAAGATAAAATATCAAAAAGGAACCCATAATCACGGTTTGAAAAGAGAGACGGGAAATTTGAAAAGATCAGGAAAATGCATAAGACAGAATAGAACCAATAAATCATGTATAACTATGAAGGGAAAACCTCAGTTAAGATAAAAACTGGTTTTACAGAATGCAACAAGTTTTTTTATTATTATTTATAAAAGTGATCAAAACACCTTTGATATAACCTAAAATTGTGGTACATCCTGAATGTATTTAGATGCCATCAGGCTAACAGAAAGTAAATTGATATTTACAAACAATGGCATTAAATAATCAGAGTCATAGTCAACAGTACTCAATGTAGCAAATCCTGAGTGACCTGATAAGCTAGTTAATAATTGTTTCTACCAAGTTAATGTATTAAACTCTTAATTGATAATTACCTAATCGATAACTTATCTAACTGTCCTAGTTTATGAATTGAGACATTACAAGAACTCAGTAGATTATATTACTATCAACAGATTGGAGAAATAGAATAACTCAATGTTAGGCAACTTAGCTTGTAGTAAGTAAGTTAATTAATAACTATTATAATAAATAATCTTGTCTAATAACTCAAGTCCAATGCTTACTTAGTTATGCAATGAATTATTACATTATGGGTGTTAAGAGTATTAAATTATAACTCTCAACACTAAAAGCAACATGAGAGTTTTGGTGATGCAGTGGCAGGGACCATTTTATGAGCAAAATAGGTTCAAATCCTACTATAACGCATTCAAAATGGATTTTAAACAAGATATATTTGTGTCAGTTCAAGTTTTTGGCCAACAAAACAAGCACCCAACTTGCTGGGGCATGTTCGAATACAAAATTACAATCCTCAATCCTCCCACAACTCTAGAGTTTTGGTATTAGGAGTTTCGTTTAGTGGAAGAAATTTTCAACATGGTACCAAAGCAACTCAGGTTAAATATAACACAAGTTACACACTTAAGCCAGATGTTTAAATGGCATGAGTTTAGGTTCAGATCCATGAAAAGGGTGCCCAACTTGTAGAAGTATGTTGGATACACACACAGAGAGACCCAAAATGTATACATATGCACGTATTTATGCATAAATATATACATAAACAGAGACGCGTACATGCATATACGTGTGTCTGTGCATATATGTTAAATATAAAATGTATATATATAAATTTTGTATGCATCACTGTTGTAAAAAGCGGCTAATAGAGCCGCTATAGTGCCGCGAATAGCGTTGTGGGGCTTCACCGTGACACTTAAGGGGTTTGCGGCGTGTTTAAGCGGGAAAAACCCGCTATTTGTTCGAATAGCGTGTTTTAGCACTTAAAAGCGCTAAACCCGCATCAAGGCGTAAATGAGAACTCGACCCGAACCCGACCCGCACCCATTACACTTTAACCCTCTCCCCTCAATTTCCCGAAAAGTGTGCCCTAGCTGCCTCTCCGGACTCCCGACTGCTTCTCTCACATTCACCACCAACAACGACGACTTCCAGTGCCGTCAACGCCGCCTCCGATCGATGACGACTCCCGCACCAATGACAACTTCCAACGATGCCTTCCAAGTGCCAGTGACTGTGCCTCTCTCCGGTCAACCCATATCTCTCTCACGGCCCTCCGACGACGACTTCCAACGACGACTTCCAGGCTCATGCGATTGTCCTCTCTTCGGTTAACCCATCTCTCTCTCACGGTCCTCCGGCAACTTCCACGACGACTCAACTCAACTTTCTCTCTCACTTCCTCCGGCGACACAGGCAAAGCTTCCCTCCGGCAACATCTCCATCTCTAGAATGTTATGAGTTTGGACATGTCATGTGTTTAGAGTTTGATATTTATTGCTTGCTTAGTATCTATAGACTGTTATTATCCATCATGATATTATCTTGCTTTGCTCATTTAGTCATTTATCTATACTTGAATAATTTATTTTTTATGTTAATTTTCTAGTAGTCAATATAATGATGATGTTACTAATCAATACTTTTTTATTGTTGAGCATTTTTATATTAGAGACTTGAAAGTTGAAGAAATGGGACAAACAACGGTCTTTTTAATAAACAGGTACGTTTTTTTATTCTTTAATCTTTATAATTATAGTACTTTGTTAATATTATGTAATTATTACACATCTATTTCATGTTTAGGCATCAAGTATGTATTTGTAGAATTTTTAGATTTTTATATGATTTTTCTTATTATTTAGAATATTTAAATATATTTATATTTGATCGCTATTTGACTGTGCGCTATTTGCCGCTATTTTGCAGCAATAGTCCCAAATACCCTTAGTGGTACCTCGCCACGACGCACCGCTATCCGCTATCAGCAACCTTGATATGCATACACATATACATAAACGCACGCACGCACACACGCACATGCATATGGGATACACGCATAAATTTATGTGTGTGCGCACACAGGCTCATACATATATGCACATATACATATACATACATGTGTGCATGTACATACACGTGTTTGTGTGTGTGTGTGTCCGTGTTTATTTACATATACATGTGTGATTGCGTACCACCTTAAAACATTTTGCTCATGAGTGTTGAGGGATGAAAATGGAAAAAGGGATTGCCTTAAGAACTGAAGTTCATAATGGCATGTTGAACAAGATCCCAGATGCGTTGAAGCATCAACTTATGACAGACTAGAGTTTACATAGTATGAAAGATACAATAAATACTGCATGATTTTATACGTAAATATAACTATATAAGGATACAATAAATTCATAAAGTGGAAAAAAGACGATCTGAGCAATTGATAAATCATAAAAACAAAAGAAGTAATTCAATACTGAAATCATATGCATTAGAGTTTCGTGCACAAGACTGAAATAGAGTAGGAAGGGAACCAATACAAAACTACTGGAATTCAATATATCCAGTAGCAGAATGCTGACCTTATATGGAACATTACTAATATCTGTTAGGCAAGATCTCAGAATTCCTCTACTTTGCAGTTGGTTCAAGAAGAACTTCTCTTGATCAATACTAATAAACGCATCCAAAACATAAAGTGATATGGCCTTTCCAGCTTCACTGCCTTGAGTAGCATCTTTTGTCACCTGAGGATAAACATATGTATGCATAAGGGGTAGAAGATAAAACAAAAAATGATCCTCAATAGGTAGTTGGACCAATGTGGCAGCAACATGCAGGCCAGTGAAATAAAGCTCACCAATTATGAAAATAATACACAAGTAGAAAAAGGTAATAAATTGGGAAGGTCCTTAATAAAATACATTGATTTTTCAGAAATGCATAAAATCGCAAATGGCAGAACAGAATTTAATTAGAACTTATTATCAGTGTATATGCTAGTCCCAGACAAACCCTGCACACTATACTGGATTACCGCTGACAGGTGACTAAGATTCTAACTTATGAAATGCTAACTCTAACTACTTCCACAAGCAATTATAGTGAAAATAGAAGGATCAAAGAATTTCTAACAAGGTTACAGAAACCGCTAGGTGAGCTAGGCGTTGGACCCAACGCCTAGAACCTAGGCGGCTAGATGGGAGCCCAGGCATAAACTAGGCGTTTTCCTATTTTTTTAATTTTCAATTACAATTATTGATATTAAATGCCAGTGTTATAGAACGTTTAGGCGTTGGACTGACACCTAGATAGATTTCTTAAGTGGTGGTGGAGAAGGTTTTACTAAAGGTCGGGAGAGATAGAGGAGGTGCTCATAGCTAGAGTTTGGAGGAGGTTGGAGGACGTGGAAGTTGAAATAGAGGAAATCATGATCAATGCCTAAAGGGTGTAGCCTATGTAGGCAGATCATTCTCCTCTAGGCACTCCCAAAACCTAGGTGGGCAACCTAGGTACCGCGTTAGCGCTAGGTAGACGGCCAAGGTACGGCTTAGTCCTAGGCGTACGCCTAGGCAGGCTAGGCGGAGGCTCTTTAAAATATTTATTTCTAATCGTGTTCATGCTAGAAAATTACCAGGCAGGAATAACAAAACATATGAAATAAACGAGTTCTAAAATTAAGAGTGGCCTTGCAATTTTCTAAGCAACATAAAGATACATTTCCCCAATAACCAGCTTATTACTCACCAAGTAAGAATTTTATATATCATATGTACACTGGTATCCAAAATTCAGCTAGACGATTGGATTTGCAACGAGCAGAAAGTTATTTCAGTTGATATTCCAAAGTGTTGGTTGTAGGTAGATAAGAGGAAACCTTAAGTCACAAAGTGAGAGAAACGTACGACATGCATAAATGAGAGGTAGATAAGAGGAATGAAGGTGTAAGTTATTTCTGTTGATATTCTGAAGTGTTGGCTGTAGGTAGATAAGATAAGGGGAAACCTTAAATCACAAAGCAAGAGAAATATACAACATGCATAAATGAGAGAATGAAGGTGTAAGTTGCAAAGCACAAAGTGTATTTGCATAAAATCGTGTTGGTTTAACCATACAAACTTCATATGCTCCTGCTTTACTTACAAAGCTTCTTTGCTTCACCACCTCAGGCATTTTACAAGATCTCCCACGTGATGTGCACTTAGCAGCTTCACCACCTCAGCCATTTTACAAGATCTCCCATGTGATGTGCACTTAGCACACTGATGATTGGTTTCGCTGAGGGAAGTAATGGAAATTTTTGAAAAAAAAGAGAGAGAGGAGAATTAAAGGAAACTAAGAGCTTGACTATCGATAACGAGTTCACCGACACACGATCAATCTAGTAAAAGTCGTCAGCTGGCAGACCGTTTAGTTGAAGTAAAATGTAATTTTTTATGCCAACTTGATTTTAGAACGTGAAGATTGAATGTTGACTTTTCTTTATCCTATAACTTTTTCACAAAATGAGTGACAGCAATTCATGTGCCGTGTAGATTAGAATTTAAGAGCAGATTAAGTAATTGCTTGGGATTGTTCCTGATATTCAATGAATTACACCACTGCTCATAGACTACTGTTATCATACCCCGGGAAATTACTGATCGGTATCAATCATACTTGCACTAATTTTGACAATATAAGCATTATTGTCTAGATTAAGGGTGGGTTAGTCACCTAGAACTTAAAATTGAAACTGGGATAATCTGTGGGATAAATTTTTAAGGTGTTAGTCACATAAAACTAAAACTAGAACAAAATTTTATAGTGTTAATCAAGTAGACCTCTAACAAAACTAGAATTGGGATAATGGTACAAAATTATCCCATTTTTTTATTTTTCTATACAAAAATGAGAATTCTAGTCTCTCAAATTATTCCAAGTTTTAGCTTGGAACTAGGTGGTAAAAAACTAGAACTTATATTTATTTTGTTATTTTTTATTTTTTATATTTCTTTTTTTTCTTTACTTCTTTCATATTATGGTTATCACCATCATTAGACCATCATTATAATAATAATTATCAATATCTTATAGTCTAACCAAAATAATAATAATTATCAATATCTTATAGTCTAACCAAAAGTTATTTAATAGTAAAGAACATTCTTGTAAGCAATTATCAATCAATAATAGTAAGTTTAAAATACATAAATAGTATTTATATCTTCAAAATGCATAAATATATATTTCATGATTATAAAAATTTATCCCACGTTATTTTATCAAAATATCTCACTTCACAAAATTGTTCCTATTTATCCCACTAAAATATCCCACTAGCGAAAAATTATTTCACTTCAACAATTATTTTATTTTGCATGAAAATATCCCAATTGACTAACACCCCCTAAGGAAAATTCTATTTGTCTTCAACTTCAATCTCTCAGGCTCACGTCAATACACAAAACTAGATGGCCTGAACAGAGTGTACACAAATCACAACCATTAAGAACATTGCCAACACCATAAATTTTTTATGAAACTTTGATGTGCATAGCAGGCTTAACAGCCTTTTCCAGTTTTCCTCCCTGTGATTATACAAGGGCACTTGATCTCTGACTTGTGAACGTACACAACCATCTGACTAGCTGGCGTATGGATAGATTTAACAAAAACCATGCAACATTCATCTGAATGAAAACTGAACCAAAGTTGGAAGCAAGTAGATACGCAAATAATATTGACAATATTGGGATATATAAGGCAAACACACTGACAATAAAACTGACTGTAAAATGATTATTAGCCCATGCCATTAGTATCACATGGAGTTATTAATGTACACAATCATGTCATCTTTGGGTGCAAAATTTATCTACCACTCAAGGAAAGCAACAAGTTGATGGTAATCCTAGAATGCTAAGAAATGTCGATAACAACGTGCCTAGGTGTCATGATGATAGTAAGTTGCGTATTATGCCAACATCAAGGACACGAGCACAAAAGACGAGCATTAATCAATAATGTATTGGTAACTGTATCCTCCAAATATTAGATTTCTATTTAAAATGGTGACAAAAAGTTCCAGGATTGATTGACTAGACATAATTCATAGCATAACCAGTATGGTAAGTGCGAAGGTTACATCAAACACTAAAACAAATGAAACTGACAAAAAGCACCTACTGCATCAATGATTGCTTGAGCCTCTTTCCGCAATATGGAAAAGTTGGCTCGCTCTAGTTCAGCTTGTTCCCTGTCAATCTTTAGAAAATATAAGACATACATGAGCGCATATGTATTTAACTTCAAATGTTAAATAGAGTTGTTGATATAGAATATATAATATGTCAGGAACCTTCTGAAGATTTAGGCCATCATCTACATCCTGTTCTTCATGAATCAGGAAACGTAAAACTGATGCTGGTATATCTGGGTCAAGGATACTCCGGCAGTACTGAAAGTAACTAAGAAGTAATGCATATTGGCTGCAATATAAAAATGGAACGGGAACAAGAAAATTAAAGAGAGAAAAAATAACCATCAAGCTCGTGTCTGAGAAGACCTCAACAAATCTTAAAATACATTACCGCCGTCTCAAGGTTTCTGATGATTCATTTCTGAGAATAGCCATTGTAAGTTTAAATAGGATAGATTGACAAGCTCCATTTGAGAGTTGTTTTACTGATATGATATCAAGGCATGTTAGACTCTCAGAGTCTACACCTCCAGGATATAAGAACCTTTCATCCCGCAACTTAGCCATACAGGTGAGTGCAACCTTTGAAAGTGAATATAGAGGAGACAAAGGGTAAAATTAAATAAGGGGAGACAAATAAAATGCACAAGAAGTCAGAATATAAAAACCAAAATTTCTCACATTGCTTAATATCAGTGCCATCTTCAAGGAACAATCTGGAGAAGCAGATGCACTCAGTGAAGCATCAAGAACTCTGCCAGTAAAATACTTGAGAATATTATATTTATCATCCTTCAAGAAGGTCAAGAATATTATCATCATTAAACAGTGCTCTTACTCACTCGAATAATACTCGAGAATGATCTACAAGAAATGACATTCTTCTAGATATTGAGACCTGAAAGTCAAACAGATTTCAATTGAATCAAAGAAACGACCAATGCACAATAACAGTATGGGATGCAATACATTCAACAAGTAGTAGTCTGAGAACGAAAATGACCTCTACAACATGGGACCACCCAGCCAACATATGAAGCTGAGCTGCTTGTTCTTCAAGGTTCTTGTTGTATCTCCAGCACCACCTCAACAACTGCCGTATAGATTCTCGTACTTCATTATTCTCAACTTCATTAAACTGGGAGCTTACTTGACTATAAAATTTAAACATCTGATAATGCCAAAGGGGAGGAACAGAAAAAAGAAAAGTCAGATCAAAGCATGGATTTTCAGTCTTGAGGATCAGATGAAGAACTTTCCTATATGTAACATGCTAATAATAAGATGTTCAAATGAAAAAGATAAAAGGGAAACCTCCAATAGTTTATCATGGAATGAATCAAGATCAATTAGCCGATCCCCTCGTTCTGAGTAATAGTATACACCACCCATTTCAGAGGCTGCAGGATTTCTAAGAATCTCCTCCACCTAAAACATGTCATTAAATCATGAAGGAACCACTAAAAGGGAAAGTACGAAGATGTTTTTTTTTAATTTTCAAAATACCAGTGTATCATATTTCAAATTGGAAATGTACTGAGGGTACTTCGCAATATCAGGCGATCTAAACTGGAGGATTTCCAGCAGCTGTAAGACCTGCAGACAGCAAGTTAGTCCATAAGGAATCACCTTCAAATAATCTTCTAAATACATTGTACTACAAAGGATAATGGAAGAATATACGCATCAACAAAATCATTAATTAATTGAGGTATAAAATATAGAACTATAAGTCTATAACTAACCTTTAAAGGGTTACAAAGGAATTTAAATTTAAATACAACACAAAAAAAACTGGAAAACTAAATTGATTTGCAAAAAAATGATGCCCATGCTACAAGGAAATGAAAATAGAGCAAGTAGAGAAGACAGAATTATTGAAAATCACTTTAGGAACGAGCATCTTAAAATAACAAGCATTAAATGAAAGTTTATGGAATGTCAAGTCAGTAGAAAATGAGTGAGACTGCAGCGGAAATTAATGGCCACACGGAATAATGCTGAACAAATTTGTTAATTTTGATTTCATACAGAATTGATGGGAAAAGGATATGAGTCACCAAGCAGAATTAGATCAGACTAGGTCACCAACACTGCTTAGATATAATTACAATAAATGCTTATGTTTACAAGAAAGGTGACGTCACTAAGCAACGAGACAAATATCGTTGTGAAGAAAGATATCAAGCATATAAGAGCAGTCAGAGGTGAATGGTTGAACAAGGAAAAAAATGGTTATATTAAATGTAAAAAGGAACATAAATAGAGAAACACCATAAGATCTATTTGCATATCAAGGATAGAAAATAAGAGCGGACAAAAGACGAATTGAAATAAGTAAAAAAGATTTTGACATGCTCAAACAATGATGGGGTTAAGCCATCTTTGGCTAGGGAAAAAACAAATACATATGAGATCTGCATGTCCTCTTTCTTACATAGAAGTTTGCTCTTTTACATGGTTAACAATCTATATTGGGAAGTTGCATAGTCATCCCTTTTTCCTGTTAGACATTTCATCCTTTTAACATATATACCTGTCTAATATTTGACAAGCAGAAAATATTTATTTTAAAAATAAAAAACCTTCACCGTTGACATGCCTTATTCAATGAAAAGTGCAGGCATGCACCAAGAAAAGTTTTCTGTGCAATTCCAATATTAACTTTGTTTCTCCATTCGTATAACATTTCTAGTGTTCACCAATTATAAGATTTGCGAAAATTACCAATTATTCAGAAAATATCTGTGCTATACCAAATCCCTCCCCCTTCGCTATATACTCTGTCTAGTATTTGACAGAAAATATTAAAAATAAAAAACTTCACCATTTGCACTCCTTATTCAATTAAAAGTGGAGCCATGCACCAAAGAAAGTTACCTGTGCTATTCCAATATTAACTTTGTCTCTCCATTCGTATAACATTTCTACTATTCATCGACTATAACATTTCCAAAAAATATTCAGATTATTTTCTGTTCTTAAAAAATAATACCAAATTATTCAGAAAATATCTGTGCTCCCTCCCTCACTGCCTTTCCCTTTCTTCTGGCAGAATTTTCATCCTCTTATAATACATACTCCATCTACTATCTGACAGACGGAAAATATTTATTTAAATAAAGAAAAAAAACTTAACCATCCCACACTTTCAAGTAAACCAAAATGGTGAGCTTTGGCATGCATTTCATGAAGACACAACTATTGACATGATAAAACTTTGAAATTCTCTACCCATTCAATGAAAAAACTACGATAAAGCTTCTAGTCCAAAGCTTAGGTGTTGGCTACAAAGACCTTTTCTTTACCTTGCTTTTTTCCCTTTTTCTTTTTTGCTTTTTTGCTTCCACTTTCATATGAACTAACATCTCAATTAAATAAAAAATTTGTCAACTATTTTTTTAACTGCATCAGCCATGCTCATTTAAGCCTATCTCTACTCTTTGTTGACCCATTATACAATCCTTCTTGTAGCTGATGCCTAACAGCTTTTACTAGAGCAACAAAAGGGTTAACAACTATTCACATTTTTTGCAAAATAAATATCAGCCTTCGCATGGTGAATTATTATACACTTAACCAATATTCTTGAATACGCATCCATATTACTAACAGGAGCAATTACCCATCATATACGTACAAGCCTTAAGGCAGAGAATGACAGAACTAAAGATAAAGGTCAAGAAACATATGAATAACATGTACAAAAATTCAAATAGAATGGATGACAACACTAATTTAAGAGTGATCAGTTATCAAGTCTATGAACATATAGCTAGTCTAAGAAACAATTGAAAATAGTACCTTACTATTATTCATGGTTCTATTTCCAGCATGACCTGCATCTATCTCAAAGGTTTCGGATGCACTTGGTCCACTGCCATTCTCAACATTGCACTGGTCAAAAATCCCAGAGAGAATAGCCAGGCATGTTTCTCTATGACCTGATGAGGCTACATCAGCTAAATGTAATTCCAGTGCTAGTAGTTTCAATAACCATGCTCTCTGAAAGCAAATAAATATAGAGATTGTTACATAAATACATCAGGTAGCACTGCATACCCAATACTTACCTTCTCCCTTGTAAATACTAACATATTAAGAAGGGTTAATTGAGAATATACCCGCTTAGTATCACCAAATTGCAAATAGACCCCTTGTAATTCTATTTATGGTGAATAGACACCCTGTAGTATTTGGCCCAGGTACGAATACATCCCCTAAGTGAACTTTTTTCACTCTTTTAAAAGTCAAAACTTAGCAATTGAGGGTCCATCATCACCAACAGAACTATAGGGGGTCTACTTGCCTCCTCAAACTTTTTTAACGATTTTAAGATTCAAAAAAGTTCACTCATTGGCAATGGCGGAGCCAGATATGTTATGTTGGGGCTGTGAAACCAACATGTAATGGCTGTAATGAAAAGGAAAGAGAATAAGAGATACAAAGAGATCACTAATATACTCAATGATAAGGAACAAGAATTTAATCTGAATGGCTATTACTATTGTTCGGAACATTGGTTACAAGACTTCTCCATCAGATTTTTTTTTTTTTGAATGAAAATAAGGCATACTGCCCTATCATGTATATATAAACCAAAAAAGAGAGTTTTTACAAAAGATATCTGATTGTGATTTGGCCCGAGACTCCGAGTTGGAGGGTATTAGACCAAATCACCAAAAGATGTCTCTATGAAGAGACCCAAAACAAAACATCTAACAGAAACTACAACAGGCAGGGTATAACAGACTTCTCCATCAGATTATTCAGAATATATTTAGGAGCCTATTATACAGAAGAAAGGTGAACACTTATTTTATTTTTATTTTTGAAGTGAAAATTTCAGCCAAATTGAGTATCCTTATATCGAATTTAATTTACATATAGATGATAAGAAATTGATTCATGACATGTTTCAGTTTTGATGATAACGATGAAAAGCTCTGTCCATAAAAAGACCATTAAGCTGGAACTAATGATGCCTGCTAAATAGTAAGAAGTGGCCGAGCCAGAAATGTTTTTTTTATTGGATTGGGGGGTGGGGGGCAGTAATCAAAGATACATGCATAAGTTGTTTCTTATTTATTTCATAAAAGAATTTTTCCAAAATAACCCCCTTCAATCTTTAATATTTTGAAATTGGTCAAATCACTGAAATTGCTATTAGGCTTTCCAATGATTAAAAACTATTTAAAATTAGTCCCTTAAATCATTGAAATTCCCATTAGGTCCCCCAATTATCATCATTAATTTGAAACAACTACTCATGAGAATTGGCCAATTGGGTACCTTAATGGCTTTCAACTATTTATGGGGCTAATTTTTAAAAACTTAAGAATTTGAGAGGACCTTACAACAATTTCATTGATTGTGGGACTAATTTTAGAAAAGCAAAGATTTAAGCATTAAGGGGCCATGGACAAAAATGATTGGGAGGGCCAAGCCCACCCGCCCGCCCGCGCACAAGAGAAACCCCTGCCCCAAAAAGAAAAAAGAAAACAAAAAACCATTTGCAATTGGGTGACATTACAGGGGGTCTTTTTGCAATTAACCCTTCGAAAAAACAGAGAGCCATTTTAATGTTGCAATGTGAACATATATCATTACTAAACGAGATAACTAATACATATTTAGTGCAGTTTTGCATTATAATTTCTAAAGATTTTATAATATCATTTTGTAACTGAAAAATATTCAAACATGAGAAATCAAAATATATCCTTCAACTACCAAATAGTTCACAAAAGACAAGCAAACAGAGGGGGTCAGTTTAGCAGCTAGGGCCCTGGGTGATTGCCTGGCATTATATTTAATCAATAAAATTACAAGAAATTCATAAAAAAAGAATATTGAACAAAATTAAATAAAATAACAAAAAATGTAGAAAGAAACCAAGAACTACTTATTCATGAACCTAAACATTACAGGTACATGTGAACAGAACAACTAAATATTGTACAGAGCTAGCAGAAATCTAAACATCTTACAATAAGATCTGAGGCATTACATATTAAATAATCAACAATAAACATAAAAAGATGAGTAACAAGCCAGAAAAGTAAGTATTGAGATTAAGATAAGTAATTCAGTAGTTAACATCAATTTGTTTTCTCAACATTACTGCTAGCTATCAAGTACAAAGTACTAAACTAAATTAGCCAAAAGATAAAGGTCAGTTTCGTATTGTTGAAGCTCACAATAAGTTGCTTATAAGCAGCTTACAGAAGCAACCTATATAAGCTGCTAAAAATAACTATTTGGTAATCATATATCAAAAGTTGCTTCCAAAAACAGATAAGATGTTTGGTAAAACTGTGCTTCAAGATCATTATAAGTGAAACTAAAATGCACGTAACTTTAGTTTCATGTTTATTGATAGTGAAAACTATTGTCAAAACCTAAAGGGTATATATATTACCCAAACTACAGAAAGCAAAAGCCACTTTTAAAAGCATCCAAGTTGCTTCTAAACACACCCCCTTAAAGAGTAGAAGCAATTTCAATAAGCATGCAAAAAAAATTACCAAACACCATTATTAACTGCTTCTTGGAAAGATAAGCAAAAGTATCCTTAAAAAAGCAAGACCAAACTGGCCCCAAGTAGATGAAGAAACAAAAAATAATTTATTAGTATGTCATACTAATAGCTGAAGTCTCTAATTCTTGAGACGTCAAATTCGAAACATCTCAAGGTAAAGATTCTGAACAAGTAGGATGCCAAGTGTCAAAAATCAACTTCAGAATTACAAACTATTAAATATCCAAATTACATAGTATAATTTCAATAACTAATCTTGTTATCCACCCTCAGTTAGTTTTGAGAACTCAAAACCTCCTCGTGAAATATCGGCAAACATAACATACTCCTCTCTATCCTCTGTTCCTTCTTGATCCCTTACGAAGGGAAGGTATCCTCCTCAAAAAAACTTGAGTTAAGACAAGGTGAATAAATTATCAACCTTTCAAAGACACTTGCAAGACTCTCTAACGCATAGGCACCGAATCATTCACAACATAATTTCAAATGTATCCTGATACTAGAAAACTTTCTCCTCATTTAGATCAATTTCAGTTGTCTGACATCAGCACTTGGCCACTTGACATACCATTCTAAGAATATGATCCCTCATTTTAAAGCGAGAAATGTATATATAGAACATATCAAATATGCATTTGTTAAATGCATTTCTTCGACCATGGATCAAGTGTTTAGTATTTTAGACTTGTTTTAAATAATAAAGCATTAATCTTTCTCAAGAGTTACCTGGCAGTAATATATAAGAGAAACATACTTCATGCAAATATTACATCAATGATAGGCAAATAAAGGTTTGAAATTTAAGTTATACAAAGATTAAATCTAGTCTCTTTACTGCAGGAAATAAAAAACATAACTGCCAAAGTTTCCCAGATAAAGAGACGGAGAGGTACAATAACATATGTGAAAAACCACATCCCTACAGTTCACACAAAGGAGAGTTTTTTTTTTTTTTTCGTTATGGGCAAGGTGATTTTGTTGTTGTTGTTGTTTGGCTGGGGGGGGGGGGGGGGGTACAATGAAGAGTACATTACAAGTAAATATGCACTATAACTTTCAGAAAGTTAAATAAATGAACATGCATCTTTTCATAAGTACCACATTCACTCTAAGTAATAATTCAAATGCTGACATAAAAAATATTTGAGATGACCTGACCATCCGAGCAAAGATGAATGAAACAGGACGTCCCTATAAAGAGGGGGGAAAAAGTTGATTCTAACTACAAATCACCGATATAAAACATTGCCCCAATTTTTCAAGGACACTAAAGTGATGACGTAAAATTAAACAAAAAGATGATCATTATTTTAACACTGTTCTCTGAGGTCAACCATACATCTCATATTATGCACGCCCTTCATTTCTTAAATCACAAACTTACTTAAGACTTCCACTACGTCACAAACTACAGCATTAATTTATTTAAAAAAATACCTGTTTCAGGATATGTAGCGGACACGAGTTTAAACATCATAAAACGTTAGATGTGTGATTCAGTGGGCCATGTGTCCAAGTGGCCAAGTAAACAAGCTTTTCAGGGCTAACCTGGTTTTAGGTGAAATTAGCTCAAATCCTTACTATTCATGGGGTTCACTACATGCAAAACAGTTTAGCTAACAGCCAAGCACAGCAACCAGGCACAATCCATCCTTCATTGGCAAGGGAGTGATTTTGTTTGTATACCTTGAATGCAGTTAACATGCTTCATTCGCCACTCTAATCTCTAGAAAGAACAAAACTGGTTTGGTGATTTAAAAGCAGATTGCCAATATTGGAAATAATAAAATGATTAGAGTAAATATTCACATTAGAGTAAATGCTTCATTCGTAACATAAGTGGAACATTAACACAAAACTAGCCACTCTAATCTCTAGAAAGAACAAAACTGGTTTGGTGATTTAAAAGCAGATTACCAATATTGGATATAATAAAATGATTAGAGTAAATATTCACATTAAGAAATTACCTGATGGAGTGTGCTGATTCGAAGAGCCTGATTGGTACTCCTCTTAGGTAGTGGAGAAATGACAAAACCTTCCAGATGCTAAAGAACACAGAATATAAGAAAATGAAAATGGAGAACATATGAAAAACTAGTAGGCCAAAATCACATGAAAAGAAAAGTAAAATAACCTTTGCAAAGAATTGATATTTTTTAGCACTTAGCAGATCCATTGTAGGACCAGTAGTCAACGGATCCAAGCACAGTTCATAAACGAGCTGCAAATGGCAGGGAAATATTACAATAATATAACAAAAACTTTGTACAAAACAGAATAGATTTGGGCATCACACAAAAAATTTCACTTAACCTGGAAAGCAAACTCATACAGTAGAGCATTTACTTCAGGCATTGAAAGCTTTTCCAAATTATCAAGAATAACCTTCAAGCAACTGCAAAGAATGTTTGATATCAGTATTTCATCCATAATATCAAGTATAAAAAGAGTAAAATGCCCTCAGAACCTGAAATGGAATTTTGGCTGGAGCACTGTCTGCTCAATAGGATTATCTACATCAAATTTGAGAAGTAAATGTGTGACATTTGGTGGTGGGCGATTAACATTATCAAGAAGAAGCTGATAAATACAGAAAAAAGACCGATTATCAGAACACTAAAATTTTACAAATGCATGGAAGAGAATGAAAAAGATAGGGTATCTAAAAAAACCTGCAATATGAGAACGCCGGCATCATTTTTTGAGTTCACTATGACATGGCATTCATCAAAACGGGACTCGAGCAAAGTAGCATAATCCTCAACTAGGACTTTTGCTGCATTCAGCTTCAACAGCAACGGTACGAGTCCAACCATTCTAGAACTGTCAAGATAATTGTTTTTGGAATGGATCTTTAGATCAATTAACAATAAATAAGATGCTCAATACTGGTAAATTCTGTAAGAAATAACTTCATTCACGCTTAAAAGAGGGAGAACTCTTATTAATATTGACACTTTTAACACCAATAAAAATTTACAACAAAAGGCACCGGCATGAATCAGAAAGACTATAAAGTATACAATAACAATACCTTAGAATGTTCATGATCTTTATCGAGCACAGCTGGATTTGAGGGAGAAAATCATATCGTACATACTCCAGCAAAGCAACTATTTGATTATGATCTTGAGATAATATAATATCCAAGGGCTGCAATAATTAAACAGTGAGAACAGTCGCTAATCACTTTAAGCAACATACAGAAAAACGCCAGGTTACACCAAACCTGGTATAATGGACGCCAGACATCAGCAAGAAGCAAATCCTTCTCCAAAACTAGAACTATGATTTCTAATGAGAGGTGCACAGCTTTCTCCAAAAGTTGACCAAATGTTTGGCTAGTCCGATCATTGATGACTGTGTCCACTCCCAACAAGATGATACTCATAATATTGCGGAAGACTACTTTACCACTCATGAAGTCCTGCAATAACAAGGAGGATTTTAACAGGTAGCATCACAAGAATACTAACATTAAATATAATGGATGATGGACGCAATTAAAAAAAAAAGAAGCATCAAGTAAAACTATGTCATATAAAAGGAAAGTTCCATCTCATAAAGGAGATCTACAGGAAAGTCTTATCCCATCAATAGTATTTGCAAATTACTTAAATTATGTAGTTGAATAGTATTGCAATGAAGTGACAGGTAATGCATTCTCCAGATTGAACAATGTCCTCAAATTCTCCAGGTATCACTAGATACTAATATGGGTGCATATTAGGCATTCCTATTCTAATTGCTTTCAACAATTGCAAGAATTAGATCTCCTTTATTTGAATCATGAAATCATGCCTTAGTAGTTTCTAGCAAGGTACGGTAGGTACCTTTCAAAGAATTTGAAATATGGTAAAAGAACTTGGAGACTAGCCAAGCTCAAAACATAAAAATAGCAATAAGACATCAAAAGAATATTAACAGACAGCAAATCCACTAAATATGCTAGATGTTTAAAGTTATAGCTTTCAGCGTCTGCTTCCTTGCTACATGCATGTCTTGATGCAGTAACTCAGGTGACTCAATTAGAGACAGAAAAGGACGGAGATAAAGAGGGGAAATAACAAAAAGATGACTCCTACAAATGGAGCGGTATTCCAAGAGAATCCACAAGTACAATCAGATAACTTCATACTAAACAAAGAATAAAAAAATCAATGTCAACAATAATAATTTAGGAACTTGAAATTTGTTCATGAACGGAAGCAACAATAAGCTTCCATTTAAAATCGCTAAGTAAGGCATCTTTAATAAAGCAAATCCATAAAAATGGTAGAAAAAATTATATAGCAGGACAAGCGATACATACTTTTAACAGTTCAACCGTGGGTAGTTGTGTTTCTAGTGGAGAAGCATGTGCCACTGCAGACGACTGAGAGATATCAATAGCATCACCAATATCTCCATCCTTCAAGTTGTACATACTCAGAACCCTAAAAATACAGCGTGAAACAAAAGAGAAACCAAGAATCATCTATAACATCATAAATTTTATGAGTGCTAGAGACTATATTGTTAGCAAAAAAACTCAGCAGCAATGTACTTATAATAGAAAACCAAAATTTTTTACAATGTCTCAAGTATAGGCCTTTCATCAATTGTTTATATCTAAAAAATACATAGTAATAAAATGGAAATTTCTGACAAAATGGACTCTTAGGTATACGCACTACCCACATGTGGAAGTGCTGAAGACAAGCAATAACCAACTGCCACTTCTCACTCGGATCAGCATATGCTCTCTGAGGGAAAGGTCCAAAGACATGATCATAGACAAATCTAAAGATTCCCACAAACCTGGTACAGATACAAAATTGAGATCCATAACCATAAATTTTCTCATAGCCAGGTAACAATGTTTCAGTGGCGTAATATCATAAATCTATATGAGACAATATTAATGAGCCAGTACCTTCTGCCTCTATCAGTGACATCTCTTTCTTCTGCAATTAGTGCATTCAACAAGTTAAGAAAAGATATTGTTGATGGATACTTTTCGGTCCTTGCTTCAACTTCATTCAGTTCAAACCGCATATCATAAACCTGTGAAATAAGTTGCATCGCTTAATCGAAGTATTATAAGTATATGAATGCGGCAAGGACTTGAAACTATAAGTGTCATCAATAACCACGACATAATAGTTATCCAATGTCAATTCCTTTCAATACTTTCATTCATACCATCTACGATATTCATAATAAATCGAATGTCAATTCCTTCCAATACTTTCCAGGCTATTATTAATGTTTCAAGGCTGAAAAGATTCAAGAGATGATCCTATTTGAGAAAAATAATTTAAAAGACCATGAACTAGTTGTACAATAGAAATATTATTTATTTCCAACAGAAAGTATTTTCTCTTATTAGAACACAGATATAGCTCAAATGTAACTAGGGAATGGCAGCAATTGACAAAGACACTAATAAATCCGTTAGGAATATAGATTGCAAAAGAATATATGAATTGCAGGTCCACAGCTAGCACTTATTATTCAAATGCCTTTATTTTCATGACCAATGATCTAAAACAAGGTTTCATTACATGTTCGATCAGGGAGCACATCGTGCATATCGTAATATGAGCTAATTAAACAAAGTGTGCAGTTTACATGGATTTGAATTACAAATACGGATAATTACATATAGACAATGTTTAACAATAAATATTCAAAAATAGGAGAATATAAAATATAATGAGCAAAAAAACTACAAATGACTGATTAAACAATGAGGAAGTATTATGCATGCAACTATTTAGTTATGGAACAAAACAATAAATGGTAAGCCCATGGGGATGGATAAAGAAAGAGAGGAGAGAGTGGGGGAGAAAGTCAGGGGAAAGTAAATAGCGGTCTAGAATGATTAACCAAACCTAACCTAATAATTGTCTAAACCGAAGACACCCAACTGAGAAAGGATAAGGTTCTCGTCCATATTCTCTGTTTCTAAACTCATTGACTTCAAAGCTAACCTGATAACCATCGGTAATGATGGCAGTTTATGTTTAAACGAGTACAGATGGGGGTGCAGCTATGGGACACACAAAATTGATAGAAATTGGCAAAAAAAATTAATAATTAATAATTACATGAGATCAATTTTGATGTTTCATTCGTGTGTTATTAAAACTAAAATCCAGATAATATTGTCATGTCTCATTTATTAAAATAAATTATGAATTGAAAAATCACTCATTTTTGAACTAGATACCTAAACGGCCCTTTAAATCAAACTTGTAAACTGGGTATGACTGAAAAGAATCTGACCTGTGTCCCGTGTGCTGCAGGTAGTAGACGTGAAGCATAAGATATATGTCCAAGAAGTGTATGACAAGTGTTCTAAACTAAAACATGTATTATATAATCAAGTATACATCTAAATAAATGTACACATATTCAAGGAGAGTCCATGAAGTCTCGGATTCGTACATGTGTCTGACACAGATATGGGAGCCCAGACGAGAAGTCGCAGTAACTTAGATGACACCAACAGAGAAAGGATAAGGTTCAGATCTATATTATCTATCTCTAAACTAACCCCTTCCAAAACTGAAAATAATATTGTTTTGAATTGATACCCTTTTCCTTTCCGCGCCCATATATCATATATTCATTTATTCTGGTCATTTAAGATGGGCAAACAATCTAGAAATCATTTCTACTAACTGATGTAAATAGGAGCAAGCAATCCCGTTCAGCTCTTGAATAATTAGACCCGCCTTTGATAAATAAGAGTGCTTTAATAGTCCTTTTGGAATGTAGACACAAACATTTAGTCATTCACAACAAGCAATCATGTACCTTATGCTTAAGTATAATCCCATGAAAAGTAAAAATTAAAGTGAAAACAACCATCAGAAATAGATAATTTAAAGTATAGACCATTAGGAGTAAGTTCAACAAAGAACTAAAAAATGCTTGATGAAAGTCAATTTGTAATTTATAAATAGGAAATGCATGAAAGACAATAGGTGGATCACACCACAGCCACTAAAATCAAGCATATAGTACATAATATTAAATGGAGGAAGGAAGGTACGCAGGTACACATACAACAAAAGAGCAGAGTTTGGCATGATCCAAGTAACAAAGATACATCTTCCAAACAAAAAAAAATCATAGATAACATAAAAATCAACAGAATAATAGTTAAACATACCTGTGATGGTACATGTTGCCCGCTATGCCCGGAAGACGGACCCACAACTACAGGAAGATCGTATTGCTCAAGATAAGTCCAGATAGTCTCTTTCAGATCTGGAGACACTTGAACAAAAGCAGTAATAGCACTCCTAAATGCCCCCTGCACATGAACATTGTAAGTACTGTAAATCATTACTCAATTTGATTGTCGGGAAGTTTCGTTATGGCCTCAAACCTTCAGATATGGAGGTACATTCTCATAGCTAAGCAGCTTAAACAAGGGTTCAATATCTGGAAACCATTTCTTCCTTTCAACTGGATTTCCATTTTCCACGACCTGCATATTACTTTCCAGATTATTTATCATGGACTCATAGTAAGAGAAACACAAAACTGTGAGTCATACTATTATGCAACAAATGGAGAAGATGTGGCATAGAAACCTTTGCGATGCATGACCAGCATATAGTGTTACGAAGGGTAAAGGAAATATGTTTTGTTCTGGTTAACCATAAAAATAAAAGTGTTAGGTTGAGTCTTGCACCCGTATCCACACCCGTACCCATGCCAGTGTCCATGCAACTTAGATACAGGACCTTACGTTGTACTATTAAGTATTAACTGAAAACATGTTTTCCCCTCTTGGTAGTACCAGAGCAAATAACCTGACTCCAGCTCCGATAGTGTTAATCCCAAGATATAATTTGCTCCATGCATTTTTTTTAAGCTAATCAAAAGTCAATCATCAAGAATTAATCACATGAAGATTCTCAAGTGGAGGAATGGTCCAACAGGTCTGCATGGAAGAAAACGTCAAAGAGACACTATAGCTATGTAGTTTAGAATTCAAGTGAATATTGAATGACTTCCTGTTTAAAACACACGTCATGATTATTTTAAAAAAATCCTTCTCTCTTTCACAACTTTGAGACAGTTTCTTCCAAAAGGAGATAACAGAAGAAGAGAGAATGCAGTCTCTATTTTTGATTTAGACAGAATCTTGCTTAACTAGTTAAACGATTGCATTAACCTTGTAACTGTTTTTCACAAGATGTCTTTTATTAATAAAAAAAGGCTAAAATTGACCAATAAATCTTACAATACAAGGATTACTGAACATGGGGACACCAAGAATATGAAAACCAAAAAGAATGACGAGAGAAACTGAAGTACAATCTATTCTTACAATATATACTAACAACAAAATAATAATTAGATTCTCAAACTGGAATATAAACTATATGCAAACCTTCTGAAGAACATCCAAATATGCAACAAGTACTTGAGCATCAGCTTCCTCAAATTCTGGCAACATGCTTCCAGAACTCTGAAGGGATTGTTTGAACTTCTCCTCGTAAATGGATATGCAGTCAAATAAGGTACTCCACCGGACGGACCGAAACATTTTACCCTGAAGTAACTCGAAAACTTTTGAAGCGCCCTCCTCATTAGAAGCCTGAAAATTCCCAAGACTATTGAAATGAACTTGAACATTCCAGAACTGCATACAAACACACAAATAATTCACGCATACCAGAGCCTTCAGCATTCTCAGGAAAGCAACAAGAGTGTGCATATTAGTATGATCCTCCCCAGCAAAGTTAATAAACGCCCACAATTCTTCATTTCCATACAGAAGCTCTGGTTCTTTCTGAGCAAGCATTGTTGCACCTCAATTCATTAGCATGAAATATATGTGTATATAAAAAAAAGGAAAATTACAAGAAACCCCTTTATCGATACCCCATTTTGAACAAGACCACTATCAGTTACTAAATTCAATTAAAAACCCTAATCTATGCAGAAATTTATATATAATATTGTTTGATATTTATTGTTATAATATTTTTTTCTATTTTCAGAAGACACATACCTGTACAAAAATTTAATGGTTGAAAGATATCTTAATCCCTTCTTCTAAATTTACTGATTTCCAACATCCACTGCTTAGATCCAATAAGTTTTCCATGTTATTTGTTGGTTTCCTTGTATTTTGAAGAAATTTGACATGTGGCACTATTTATTTTAATTTGTGGTTTAGCTCTGGCTGTTTCAAACTAAAGTCACTATCCCAATATTTAAGATCTCATAGGAAGAAGAGGCAGAAGATGGATTGTGAGGAAAGATGTTTTAGTCCCTTCTTCTAAATTTACTGATTTCCAACATCCACTGCTTAGATCCAATAAGTTTTCCATGTAATTTGTTGGTTTCCTTGTATTTTGAAGAAATTTGACATGTGGCACTATTTATTTTAATTTGTAGTTTAGCTCTGGCTGTTTCAAACTAAAGTCACTATCCCAATATTTAAGATCTCATAGGAAGAAGAGGCAGGTTTAGCTCTGGCTGTTTCAAACTAAAGTCACTATCCCAATATTTAAGATCTCATAGGAAGAAGAGGCAGAAGATGGATTGTGGGGAAAGATGTTTTAGTCCCTTCTTCTAAATTTACTGATTTCCAACATCCACTGCTTAGATCCAATAAGTTTTCCATGTAATTTGTTGGTTTCCTTGTATTTTGAAGAAATTTGACATGTGGCACTATTTATTTTAATTTGTAGTTTAGCTCTGGCTGTTTCAAACTAAAGTCACTATCCCAATATTTAAGATCTCATAGGAAGAAGAGGCAGAAGATGGATTGTGGGGAAAGATGGGTTATTGGGTTTGTCATTACTATGTTATGGAAGAGAAAGAAAGAAGATGGAGTACAAAAGACTTATCAAAGGCTCTCATACTAATAGAAAGTTTACCCTCTTACATGCTTACAATGTGATAAATTAATCTAACAGAACACTTCTAATGATAATAGATCAGGGTTTTTTTTTTTTTGTTTGTTGAAATTAACAAATGATAATGGTTTTATTTTTACAAAGCAATATATAGATAAAGGGCTTTCCTGTATTTAGTCCAAACATTAAAACAAGATAATGGAAACAAAAATCAAAACAAACAATCTAGTCAACTATGATTCTCAGACGTGAGAGTAAACCATCAAAAAACAAGTAAATAAAACCTTAATTTAGAAAACGAATTTAGCTGCAAACAACAAGCGCATAAAAAACATTAAGAGCAAAAGTTTCTCACGCTTACCGCTCAAGAATTGTGAATAACAAGTCCATGAAAACTAATATAGAACAACTATTTCACTTATTTGGCAGTTCCAAATGAGGATACATGCAATGAACAGATGTGACATTATGAAACTGTAGAGGCCTTCTGATCATTGTTTCGTTAACAGATATACCAAACAAAAGATAGAATGAAAGAAAGACAAAAAAAACTCACTGACCTCAAATGATCAGAGAATTATCTATATAACCCCACACTGGTCAGAGATGATAGCTAGTATTTATACAATGTTGTTCTTTTGCTACACTGATCAGGAAAGTCGCCTACATCTGCTTGTTGGACATACTCTAGAAATACTACATGAGATTGATCATAAAAATATTGCAGCTTAAGGTGGCCCAGCATGCAAACAGCCACTTAAGATCAGGATGATGTTGCAGGATTAGATTGGAAAATCCAAGAGAATAAGAGCGTGGTGTCTTCTTAGCCAACATGTAACTAAGTATAGACTCACATCACCAATGCAGATCTGCCTTGCCTCAGAGATAGAAGAGGAACTGTGATCTGATGACTAGATCATCTGTTATGCCGCTCCAGAGTTCAACTAGTTGAGGACTTCCTTCACAATAATAGTTCTGGAACAATAAAAGAATTTTAAGGGCAAAGGCACATTGTCGATGTATGGTCCACAGAGGAACTTACGAGAACCTTTCATTTATTATATGTGGCAAATGGCACTCAGGTCAAAATACGATGGGACAGGATGGTTAACAACCAGTCATCTATCAGAAATCAAAATGTTGCATATAAGAAGGAAAAAAGCATGTCTCTTGTCCAGAAACTGGGTGTACTTGAATTAGAATTTCGAGATGAATAAACAGAGAAATGAAAGGATAAAAAGATGCATCCACGATGAGTTAAAAGGTAAAATAAAATGGGGACAATAAGAGGGACCGGAACTTTGAGCATAATCATATGCAGCAAAAGGGGTCAACATACATGCAAGCCATATTTGTTTCTTTCTGTGACGTCATGATCATCCAGAAAAACGAGAATCCAGAAGCAATATACTGCATCAACTAGCCACTTGTCTGACATTTGAAAAAAACACTGCCTGTAGAGGAGTAGAACCTCATCTTCCCCTGCGCTAAGCAGGAAGACAAAAGTAACTTGACTGTGAATTTGGTGCTTTGTCACCTTTCTGACTCTCAACCTGGTTTGTTACCAGCAATACTGACCCAGTTTAATATAACACACCGCATGTACCCTCATACCTGCAGTAAACCCTAGCCTAAACATGCTTATTCTACTCTCCTTTTGATGACAATATGACAGTGTGTCAGAGATGGAGTAATTGCACTTTCATTGGAGATAGATCAACTACTCTTAACATTCCATTTTGCAAAGACGATCTAATTTTTAATCATTTAGAGACGTTAAGATGGCATATGCATTAGAACTAACTCACCTTAACCCTCTATTGGGACATGGTTATTAACCTGGCAAGTTCTGGAATACAAATACCTTCAATTAAAATCTAATGGTAGGGCACCCTAAAAGCCCACCTCTACTTTCAGCAATATTACTGAGAGCTCAAAAACTAAAATTCAAATGATTTTGCAGTTTTCATGCATGCACCAGGAATTAGCCACAAATGGACAAAAGAAATTAAGAAGTTGTCTATTCTGCATTCATGGAGTCTCAAACCTACCTACAGATTGAGAGAAAGTGTTTTAAGTGCTTAGACCATGATCAATTTTGGATGTGAACTTGTACCAATAGATCTAAGTACATGTAATTTTTTAACATCCATTTTGCATGCTACCTGATGCTGAAAAGAAAAGGGAAAAAAGGGAGGGAAAAAACTTACACATTTTTGGTTTCTTAGGCATGTAAACAACAATAAAAAAAAGTCTACATCTCAAATTTTTGGGATCGGCTATATGGCTCCTAATCTTCCATTCAAGTCCGGTCAAGGACATTTACTTCAGTAAGTTAACTTACCATGGTCCTTAACTGCTTCAAAATAAGCTCTCTTAAATAAGCTCTCTTCAGCTGAATCCTCGTGGTGCTCATTTAATATAATTTTATCAATTCTCCTAACTGGTGCATTTAGTGGAAACTGTTATACATGACCAAACTATCTCACTGGATTCTCTCTCATTAGTCATTATATCCTCACGAGAAGCAACATCTACCTACCTTAGAATATACTCATTTCTTATCTTCCCCACCGCCGCCCCCGTCCTTATCTCTACACATACATATACATATTTCAAAGCAGAGTTCAGCAAGGAAAATGTGAAAGACGCATAAAAATTTTGTGTCCTTAACCTAGAACAAACTAGACACAAGCTTCAAAAGATAATCATGAAAGAAAAAGATTGTACCTGATAAACATCACCAACCAACTCCAAAATCGATATGAATGGCTGACGACTCATGTGGGCATGTTGTTGCAAATAAAATGAAGGATCATCTCTAAAGTCATCCGCTCCTGCCATGATATATGGACTAAGGGCAGTCATAGCCTTCTCCTTCATTTCTTTCACCTGTTGAAAAATGTGCAAGGAATAAAAATAAAGAAATAATAAAAATAACCAAAAGGCTCAGATAAGTTACACTAATAAGAACCACTACATGTTTAGCTAGGGCATTGCACGTTTATTATGTCAAGAAGTTGTGAAAAGGAGATGTATAAATGACGATAATAAAAAAAATTAAATGAAATAATTTACAAGCGAGCAGTCTAGATTAGAATTTATAGACCATTCTTCCATATAGAATTAATAGGTCATTCTCCGCACGGAACTACCACATAAAATACTGCTCAAAACTATAAACAGCAACAAATTCTAAGAAGGTTGTGCCTCTTAACTCTTGAGCCAGTGTTGATCAAGATATTAATTTTCTCTTCCCGACATTATTAAACTGGAGCACTAAGTAAGAACTACTATACCCATTGTTCACAAACGACAAACCTACGGAAAGAACTTGCAAGTTGATGTTCTGTGATGTACTTTGGCAGATGTTAATGGAAAAGACTAGATAATAATATTTAGGAATATATTGTTGCTACTCCCACCCTACCCACAACTCAAGAAGAAAATAATGACGATTACTATAATAACTAAATAAAATAAAAACCCCTGCCACTATTTTAAGAAAGACCCTATGACATTTTAAAGCTTTATTCCCTGGGAATCTATGTAAATTACAAATATCCTTTTTTTATTGTCAGGATTCTTTTAATCCTGACATCTCAGCATGCAGTTCCTTGTTCAGATGAAAGTGTTTATACTCTGCTAGAAGAATGCCTTCAGCCTGCTAAGATATTTCATACCTTGAAAAGCATGGAAGGATCCCTTAACGAAAAGGGAAAATCTATGCAAAAGAGCTAAGTCATCAATTCAAGAATTGTATAAATAACATATAAAGGTGTGGTAACCAGATGTGACTATGAAATATCAGCCGACATGGCCGAAAATGTCAAGTAATATGTTGTCTTATAAGGCTTGCTGCAAACAATATAGTTTCATAATCATATATTCCTTTTGGCAACTTTTCAGCAATGATGAGATATTCATGATATATTGGCCGATATTTAAACCTCAAAATATAGGCCAAAATGTTGCAATATTAATTTTGGCTTGAATGTGTTTAAAAGATCACATTTGGATTTATGACTCACTGAGGTTACTTAAACCCAAACCAATACTCACTTTTATAAATACCTGAAAAGAAGAATTAGGGGCTCAAATAAGACTAATTTTTTTGCAAGAGTTTGTGGCTCTTTAAGTCCCGACTATTTATCTTGAAATGGATTGCACTACGACAATCCGCCTGTGCCCTCAACATTGACTGTTTCGCCAAAAGACCCCTTTTTTCCTCTTTGATTGCTTCTTTTTCTCTCACCATTTCATCCTTATTTTCATCATGGATGTTATGTGAAGCTTTGGCTGAGAAGATATCCAAAAGGCTTAAAATGGAGTATATGTTAAATGGGTCTAGTCCTAGCATTATCCACTTAGAAATATTATTAGCTTCTTTAAAATTTTCATGATTTGTTTTGCAGCTCCGCTTTTTCTTATGCATCAAGCATAACCATCTATAATATATTACTATGTATTCACATTATTGATATGACACCACGATAGTTACTAAATATATTCGTTATTCCCATGGTATCTATCGTCCAGTACGGAAATTTTTGTCCAATATGCCCCAACATCCGACATTTAGAGCACTACCTAATGCTACTTCAAGGATTCCCCCAGACAGGAGTAAAAGTCTCACTAACAAGTTGCTTGGACGGATAGATAGCCTTTCAAACAATGACCATATTCAAGAACTCCTTTAAAAGAAGGATGAAGAACAAGAAGATAAAGATACAAAGTACAAACCTTGTCCCGTGTAACCGGGTGAGAAAGAAAGAACATCATCAACTTGTGCATGTATCCGTTATACATATAAACCAAATCCTCATCATCATTCTGCAAAAATAACATGTAAGATGACCATTAGCAGAAGGCAGGATATTCAGAAGCATTGGTAAATAATTTATTGTGCTCCACCACTATCAACCCATAAATGTCCGAACTTAATCACTTATTCCCAAAAGTTAAAAAAATTGCAAAATTACAACAGCAAGTACACACAACAATCAACCTGAAGAAGCCAATAACAATAGCTAAGTACAACCTTAAGATGCAAGAGACAGGAGCACCTTAGAAATGAATTATAAATCTCAAATAATAAATTAATAATCACTATTTGCAAAGGTAAAGCAACATGCCAACATAACGATCAAAAGTATTTCAACTTAATTATAGAGAAACATCCACCTACTTCATAACTTATATTGACATGCACAAGAGTGATCAATTGGATAAATAGCCAAGTCACTAACAGCTGAGATGAATTATGACAAAGATGTAACACTTTTTTGCCTTCAGTAAATAGTCACATGCATGGATGACAACCATGTTCCATTGGTCTATTGTAAAGTTCCTACTACAATCTTATGTGTTTGAGGCTTTAAATTTAAACTTGACTCTGTCAACACGAAGCCAAAAGAAAGGTGGATGGTTACTTGTAAGTCAATGAGCAGTTACGAAAGGAATATCAAGGTAGTAAATAACAGGTTGCAGCAGTAAGAATGTACGATGGATATCTATGATTATGTTTAAAGAAAAAACAAAGTCCATTTTTTGGATTCACGGTTTTTAGTCCTTTCCACTTTGGCCCATTTTACGAGATAACTGCTGCAAGTATGGTGGTAACAATATTCTCTATTTCAACCAAAAAAATTTAGAAGACCAATTTGGGTTTGACTGCTACAAGATGTGATTATTGTCAAGGACATCATGACGGAGTTTCTAAAACATCCCCAGTGCAGAAACCTATCAAGGATATTTATTTTCAAGATAATGAATTTTTAAAGTTAAAATAACAAGAATATTAAGTCATGAACTTAAAAAAGATACATACATATGTGCTAAAACCCTAACAAATCAAATGAGCAAATAAAACAGTACCTCCAAGGTCGGAAGAAGAGGCATGATATCCAGGAGCAAGAACATCAAAGAGATAAGGTAAAGAAAAACATGTACTTGAAGCATATGCATTGGTTTAAATATCCCCGACATGACCCGATGTATCGTCCGATGTATCCATTTACAAGGCTTGTCGCAAAATGATATGGTCTAAATATCATTTACTCGCAATTCTTTGGCAATATAAACCCAACATGGCCGATACATCAGCTGACATATTGGCCGATATATCCTTTTATATAGCTTGTCGCAAAATAATATACCACTTGTAGCAATTTTTTAGTGACTTATCATAATTTCACAATATAAGAAGTGACCTTAGAACCTCAAAAAAGTCAGCCAAAGTGTTGCAATGTCAATTTTGGACTTTTACTAGTTTTAAAAGGTTGATAAGTGATCATAAACATATATTATTTACATTTTGTACGCTTATATTTTATTAAGTATGTTAGATTACATTTTAGGACATTATACTACAAATGAACATTATCCGATATAGCACTCCAATATTTACCACATATCCCCCAATATCCACAATCCAAAATGAATTTTGGTCGTCCGATATTTCCCTGATATCCGATATTTAAACATTGAGCATATGTAGACAATGCATTTCATTATCCACAAAGTTACTAAAACATCAACTGAATGGTGCAGCTAACTTATAACTGTTACCTGGTAGGCAGCTGTCCGAAGTACTCTGGTGAGTAAGAATTGGAAGACATTGTTTGTGCACACAAGCTGCAAGCAAGAATAAATATTTGACAAATCCTTGGAAGAACCACCAGAAGAAATATCTCCTGCACCCTGATCTTGAGATATAATCATGTGCACAGCCCATGCTAGTCTTATAACATCAACGAAGCCCTCAATGTTTGGGATGTTCCCAACAATCATTAGCTGTATCAAACATAAACATTTGAACAAATTAGAATCAGAATATAGTAAGAACAATTAGGAAGATGAATTGTTTCAGTTGGCTCACTAGTCCATGAAATTCAAGACTGAAGGAAGAATCATGCAACGATGTTGATGCTTTGTCTGAAGCTATGCTCAGAGCATCAGATATGAAAGCTATCACCAGGGTAAACATAAGGCTGAATGTGATCTGCAGTAGGAAAACAAGACAAAAACACAAAAATAACAGTAATAAAAGAAATAGAAAACATCTGTTAACCAATATAAAAAGAAAAGAAAAATCTCAGTGGAATGTTAAGAAGAGAAATTTTCGAGGTGAAATGTAATCGGGGCCTTGCAGATAGGAAGTGAGCTTTAAGTCTTCGATTAAATAAGGCTTATTTGCTCAAATGACAATACATCTGGAAGATATTAGGATTATTCAGCCTACAAATAGATCCTATAACAACAATTGTAGATCTTGAAATTTAAGGAGTCATGTGCTTTAGTGAGAAATTGGATTTGCTTCAATAAAATACTTAACCTCGCAACTTTTATCTTTTATATCCCAATTTATTATTAAAACTTCTAATATATGAACCCTACGCAATCTATTAAGCTTTTTTTAATCTACTATCATATAGAAAGCATGAATCAGAAATTGGTAAAGGAAAAGCGTTTTCTGTTCTCTAATTATTTTCCTGGAACTAATCTTGCGAAGGTAAAAAGTTTAAGGTTCTAATTTATTTTAGGATGGAGGTATGCAAGAAAGTGTTTTTAAAAACAATATAGAGACAGAAACTAGTAGTCAGATCAATAAATATATACTAAAACCCATACCTGAAGTTGTATGGTGGAGTCACTATCATTGATTCCACCTGCACAATCTTTTAAGGTTATAAAAACATCTTTCACATCTTTCGGATCTGTAAGAGGAAAGAAAAAAGTAAGTGTTATTCCATTCCTCACTAGAATTATCTCTTCTATTATATGTTTAAAAGAAATTGAAACACTTTAGGGGGTAAAAACAAGATAACAGGTTTTATGACATCTATTTCAGATAAGGATTGACCATTCCTAGTTCCTAATTTACAATAATTTCCAACAAAACCATCCTATAAAAATTTAATGCAACAAAGAATATTGGATAATTTTAATTTTTATTAAGCAAAATAACGACAAGGAAATTGAGTCATTAAACTAATTTGAGTTATTGGAAACTGTAGCAAATTAACCGATGATACTTTTAGAGCATCAATATATCATGTAAATACCACACATAGAAAGACAAACTATAGAAATGTTAGATGCAAGAAAAGTACTTGCCCAGGCCATTATGCCTGGAAACATGAGGAAAAGGACAGCAGCCTATTGCTTTAACTTCCTCAGTCAAGCGCAAAGCAATAAATGAAAAATAATACTACCTTATTTACTCAAAAGTAGGTACTATAGTTTCTGAATGAAAATTTTAGACAGTGTAAAAACTTATTATACACCTAAAAACAGTGATCTATGTTCCAAATGTCTGATATTGGTGTCATGTCAGATGAAAAAAATTAATACTGGATAGCAGATATTTAGATTTAAGTAAATATTGCAGTGGGAAATTGGACAGTATGTATATACATACCATAGATGCCCTAAGTCCTAACTAATATCTTAACATTAAATATGTCAAATAGGGCAAATAAGATTGTTTAGGGGTATAGAGAGCCTGGAGAGGATACAGCTAAGAAGAGTTGAGAGAGAGGCAGAAAGAGATTGAGAAAGAGAAACTTACTGCAGGTGGCATGCAGTCAACAATGAAGAAACTCTTGACTCAAGTAAAGTGAGACGATAAATTGGAGCTTAAATTGATCTCTACTTATCCTATTTTGAGATTTATATAAAGTGGATTCAAGTTTGGGGTTAGGACCCAAACTTGATCTTTAAAATAAATCTAATTATGCACAACTTCAAGCAATTTTTTGTGCCAAAATGTAACCTAATATATCGGGAGATCCCAGAATATCACTTGATATATCAGGGAAAAAATTCATGGTATATCAGGGATAATTTCCCGAAAATGATAAATGACATGTAAAGCTTTCTAATTGTTGTAAGCCGTGCATCAAATAATATTTCAGCTGACATGTCGAACATGCCAATCAACACTTTAAACATTGACTATGGATGTAGACATGTAGTTTTGCAGTCACTCTTGCCTTTCTTAGGTTGCATGTTATGTATATTTATATGTTTTAAAATTAATAATTTACATAAGATAAATCTTGTCTTGTCATTTACATATGATAAATAATAAATATACAAGAAATAGACGTAAAATGTAGAATATACATCCAAGAACTATATGAGGAGTGTTTCAAATTAAAACATGTATTATCTGCCCGAATAAACATATTCATATATTCAAGAAGTGTCAAAGAGGTTTGTGTACAGATACTGGTACATGCCGGGTACAGGTACGGCTTCCTAATAGAAGTACATAGGGAACATGGTTCACCACTATCTTGTAGACTCTTCAACTAAGTGTTTGCCTATTTAAAAATGTCTCCATCTATTTGCTATTGGTAGATTATGCACCTAGCTACCTCTGGCAAATTCTATTAAAAGCACCTTTCCTCTATTTTCTTCAATGCAAAGCGATAATGTTATATACAAATCCTAATCGTAGTGTCATCTACAACCTACAACAACAAGCTAGAACTCTATCCTTTAGAAATCGAAAATTCATATCATTGTAGAACTAATTCAAATGTAATTATTATAATCCCAAAAAAAAAGTAGTTCCACATGGAATTCACCCTGGGAATGTCACACATTATACCAATGCGCATAGTGCAAAGCAACATGCAAAGGCCTTAATTTACCAGAGCGTAAATGCACTTATTTTCTTAATAACATCAATATGATTTAAAACTAAGATCAATCAAATTACTTGCACTAGCTCATTCACTACATGAGAATTATTAATATTGAATTTAAGGAAACACTATATTAATGTCTGACATTTTTCTGGGATAGTTGCTCAGAAATTCTAATTATATAAAACGACTTCTTAAACAAGGTTCCAAAAAACAATGCAGAAAGCTATGAAGCACGGACACGCATAACATGAAGACGTGTCGTGTCGTGTCCGTGTCGGACACACGTGTCGAACACACATATCCTATGTATTTTTTAGGATTTGCCTCGTGTCGGCGTGTCGGATGGCCGTGTCGGATCCGTGTCCGTGCTACATAGGCAGAAAGATGGAAAATAGCAGTAAGACAAAGTAACAAGAAGGAAGCAGATAAGAGTATAGGATCATGAAAGAAAAAAGGAGGAAAAGATAAAACAATGCCATAACAGTGAAGCAATTATGGGAAAGAAAAATCGTAAGATCGTATCAAGTAAGAGAAAAATAAGAAAAAAATGAAAAAGTTAATACAAAAGTAAAATAATGACAATAAAAGGAGGAGAAACCAAAATACAAACAATTACATTCTAAGTAATTGTTCTTGACCCTGTATCAAAATAAATGGCTTGCATATGTATTGTTGTTTTTGTAAGTGAAAAGATGAAAAAGTGGAGAAAGGAGGAAAGAAGTGAACAAAGGAAAAACGAAAAAAGTAGAGAAAAATATGTTTACTATTGTTGTTTTTGTAAGTGAAAAGATGAAAAAATAGAGAAAGGAGGAAAGAAGTGAACAAAGGAAAAAACGAAAAAGAGGGAGCGAACAAAACAATTGCGAAAATAATGGCAAAACAGAACATAATAATGACAGTGTTGGATGCTAGAACAGTGACGTGCAGTGAGGCCAATCTAAATGAATCAAGGCTCATGTCTTGCATACACGATGTGCCCCACACCTCATGCAGGATGTTGCAGCAATGCCCCAGACGCATTCTAGCCTCGAGGCAATTGCCTCGGCGTGCTTGTGACTGGTATAAAAGCCACCAAATCCAAAAATAATCATACCTGGTATGCTTGAAAGTTGGAACGAATAGAACTGTACATGCATAAGTGATCTTACAAATTTTGTATGGGCCAATCTGAAACTATGTGACATATTGACTCAGTTGATGCTACGAAAATTCAGTAAAATAGATAAATAATAAAACCATGAAAAAGTTGTTGAATATAAAACTACCACCATTTTGACCCTATTGATCAATAAAGGAAAATGGTAAAGGACAGAAGCCGATGGAAGGATGGCATGAAGAAGTAAAAATTGGATCACTTACCAACACCACTTCTACTGTTTACTCTTTCTTCCTCACATTCTAAGAGAGGGATGATAGTGAAATCAAGATTTTGCAGTAGTCAAAGCCAATGAAGTTTTTATAGGGTTTAGCAATTTCCATTTGGCTTAAGTTTTGGTTGGATTTAAATTCCAAGATAAACCTAGCCTGACTCAGCTCATTTAACTGGAAAAAAAACAATTGGAGTTCAAGAGGTTGTCACACGACACGGACAAACAAATATGCGACAAAATTAGCATAAATTAGCATAGAACTAACAGTAACAACTGCTACTATCCCTGCCCCATCAAACAGCAGGGCAAGAAGAAAGGAAAAAAGGATAGTACATGTGAAAATTATGTTGATATGTTATTATGTTTTTACTCAATAACAAGAAGTTTTTTATTTATTTCAAAATCTTAAAATGGCAAAAGAAAACTCAAAAGCAATACAGACAACCATAAAACTACCACATTGATATACAAACACGAGGAAAACCTGAGATTAAAAGTGAACTGAATTTTTGGGCTTCAAGAAGTGATAGCACATTGAAGACCAAGCACACAACATAATGTGCAAGGACAACAAGAATAGTACATTGTGCAAGCTGGCAGTGAAAGCACTGAAGAAGAAGATAAGACCATTCTGTCAATATATATTCTTTTGCATTCAGACTACAGCTCATTATATTTCGTAGTTTCAGTACTATAAATGTCAAAACAGATACTCAAATCTAGAGAGACAAAATAACCAAACAACTAAAACTGAGAGCCTTAAATAAAAAATTTAATAGATTTTTAGACCTAATAACCCCCTTTAGCATTTGAAATGATTAGCCAACAGAAAATTGCCAGCAAAAGATTGCTTAACTGGCAAAAGTGATAATGTAGCTAATTTATCCCTCTCTTTGTAAAAGAGAATTAATAATAAAAATACCATTAAAAGGCAAGGTATGAGGTTATTCCTTCTTTACCACTTTTACTTTCTGTCTTTTTCCCCAACCTCTCTTTTATGGCGTCTAACATTTGCCATTAGTATTAGGTTCTCTGCTGGTAACTTTTCCCGCCAATTCAGTAACTATCTAGCCTAGAAAACATTAATCCTTAATTACCAATCATCTAGACAACCATGGTCATGTTTATCCAACACATCTTTAAGTGCTGCTTTTGACATAAAATCTTCCCACACAGCCTATATGTTTTATATGATATCTATCCTAATGTAATTCATGGAAGTCATGATCAACATTTACACAACCCTAGCTTCACCTTTGAAACGCTCCATAGTCCATAATTATCATCAGCCATAAAACATCATTGCAGTTAATAAGTGATAGGAAAAGACTACAGGCTAGGTTAAGTCTCACTAAAAAGCTTAATATATTTCTGGTTTGTGTTACTTATTTTTCATCAACTGGAAGAATATATACCATATCCCTTGTGTTTCTTTCACAGACATAATCTCTTGGGCAACCTTTATACTCTCATGCAGAAGCACGTGTATGTTCGTCGACCACACCAATCATGGGTACGTATATAACTATATAAGCACTAAAACTTCATCTCATAAGCAACTAGAAATATCACTCTCCCTACATATACCAGAGCATGCTTAAAGAGACAAACTAATGCAATCAAAAATATTGAAGTAAAACTTATTTTTGCATGACAACATAAAATATATATAACTTACTGATCCGTGTAATGAGCACAGATAGAACAAGGCAATGACTAAGGCTTAATCGTTCTCGAGAAACAACAGCTTGCCTCAAGACAATAGCACCTCTAAAATCAAGAACATAGCGTTCAGCATTTGGACCACCAAAACCACTCGGTTCTTCCCGACTGAGTTCCTAAAGATGAAAGATAAACAACCAGAAAATACACCTTTAGGCATTGATTAAACTATATGAACTAGAAAGGTATGCTTAGTTGAATAAGGTTAAATATGTAACTTAATCATTTATGAACACAGACTTTCTGTATGGTTCAGTTTTAAACCATAAATAAGTATATCTAAAATTTATGAGATTGTAATAGAAAATATGATCTTCTAAAGTCAACGGTTGCAGTACATTAACACAATTGAAAAGCAGATATCTAACTGGCTTTCACACCTTTATCAGTATTATTAACCGTTGCCTCAAACCACATTCAAAAAGATCATTGAGAAACTTTTGGATGTCTACCACAAGATCAGCCTCCAGACCCTGGTCGAGCACAACAGCCTGCGTGCTTAAGAGAAGAGAATATTACAAATCCTTTAAGTGGGGAAAAAAGACAAGTGTAAAGACATAAGGGAGAAAAATACAGTATTCATTCATAGCGGTACAGTAAGATGCAATCAAACTACATTCATTACCCGCATAAGGGTGTACAATGAGGTTATAAGATCCCGCCTCTCTGTGTACCAAAGGCCTGCTGCGAGACGAAAAATCTCTATTGGTTCTCGTCCAAATAGAACCCACTAGAGAAACATAAGATTGGAAGGTCATACATAATGCAAAAAAGCATACTATCAGAGGATGAAATCTCATGAGTTTTTTATTTGAATACATAAACAAGAGGGAAAAGGACATACCTCTCTATTGGCAGAAACGAGGAGCCTGATGCACTCAATTTCATTAAGGTTGAGTTCATCACTTAACTTAATAGCCTGTGAATTTGACAGCCAGACCAGAAAAAATAGTGAAAACAAATAACAAGACTGAAGAAAAGTGAGAGCAAGAAAATCTAGACGATAATGAATGCTCTACTGCTCTGAATAGCTAAGGCATCCACATAATTAGCAAAGATAATAGATAGCAGCGACCAAGAAAAAATCTTGCTTGAACACCAGATAACAACGAGATCAGGACCCTCATTGGTGCTTGTTTCCTCATAATAACACTAATGACACATACAAATACCATCCACCGCTAAGTGATAAGAATGCAAAGGCATGTTGTTATGTGATAATGATTTTGTGGTGGTGGTTGTGTGTTTGCACGCATGCCATGCGTGTGTGATAATATTAAACTTTAGAAATGACACTTTAGGTGCATTTCATATGCATAAATGTTGTCAAGAGCTCTGCTTTCAGTTATATACTAAATATAAATAAAAGATTTTAACTTCCGAAGTTTGTGAGGCATATAAGACCAAAGTCTCGTCCAAAACCAAAACTTTCTAGTTGCATTGACTCAAACCCCACCACTTGTTTTTTTTTCCCCTCAAGTGCAATTTTCCCCAAATAAGTAACTTTATTTCCTGTAGGCTTCTATGTCCATCAATACAAACGAGAATACTGCAATTACCTAACAAATGGCTACATGGAGTACCCAAACAGGAGAAATAAGCCAGTAATCAATATAAAAAAAGCGCAATGACTTACAATTTGGACGTCCATGTCATCCAGCGAGATCGGCGGAGAATCCGGGAGTCGAACCTCCTTCGACTGAACCTGAGCTCGATCTGACGCCTTCGGTCCCTGAACAACACAAACAAATTCAGTTCTGTCTATATATATATATATATATATATATTCAAATGCAGCTTAGGGAGGGGAGCACGGCGAGGAGGGGTACTGGGAAAGAAGAGGGGACGATTCTCCGCGCAGAGAGGAGAAAGAGGATCGAAGAGCGTGCATGAGCTCGATCCGCTGTGTCGGAGTCGGCGGAGTGGGGCCCAGCAAGGCCGACTCGATAGTGGCGAGGAGCTCGTGAGGAGAAACCATTGTGGGCTTATTCTTCTTCTTCGTTTGGAATTTGAGGAACCCTAGCGAGGGGTTGAAGAAAGAAAATGGAGGGGAGAAAGTAAAAACCCTACTTTTCAAAACCCTAGAAAAGAAGAAGCGGGCTTTTTCGTAAGTGGGGAATGAGGACGGAGCAGAGGCAAAGCTTCGGGTTTGGGCTTTGGAGGAGACAGAGCAGGCCGGGTGGGCTTTTGGGAAATAAAGCCGAAGCCTGATGCCCGGTGGAATAGAAACTTGGCGGTCGAAAACGAACCAAATAATTCTACCTGTTAATAAATCTTTTTCCATAGCCCCCTCATGACATCAAATCATAGCCATAATTCTCTTCCATTGTCATGCCGATCATCGTCCTTACCTCCTCTGTCGCTCACATCACCACCAAAAAGTTGTCAACTCTTAGTCATCCTTGGTCCCGCTGTGAGCCTCCGCCGCCGCCACCAACAGATGGTATTATTTTTGTTGTTATTTGGAGAAGCGAGGAGTTCAGCGAGGATTTTTTGAGCAAGACGTTAATTTTATTGAACAATCATTTTCAGTTCTTGTTAAGTATCACAAGTACATTATAACTATACTTTGTACCTATTAACTATAACATGGTTAAGTATCACATGTACATATTAATTATAAGTGGTTCATGTTAAAAATCACAAATACATGTTAGCTATACTCTGTACCTGTTAATTATAATCGGTTTCTACTAAGTATCACATGTATCCGTTAATTATAATTGTTTCCTGTTTTGGGTTCTTTTAATATTGTAATTATCTCAGACTATAATAGAAAGAATAAAATAATAAAAAAGGTATTCTTCTTGGGGGTTCTTTTCTATGTGCCGACGGAGCATCGATCTTGTACTCCATTGACGCACCGATTAAGACTTAGAGTCTTTTGTTGTGGATGCAAGCTTAGTGGTTTGGAAGATACCTCAGTATTCTCTTGATAGTTTTACCTGATTGAATCGCCAATGCGATAATAAGAATCTCTCTCTACATGTGAGTTGATCTCTCTGGGATTCGGTTTGATCTCTTAGATAGATAGACCTTCTTTGATTTTTCCCAATTCTCAGATTCTTTTTAAATAAATAATCTTCCCTCTTTTTGTAGGCTAAAAGAGAGAGTTAATGGCCCCTTAATTATGGATTAAGTTGCCAATAAAGTATGAGATAATGGGGAGCGGTTATTCCTCATAAATAGCTCTTAAAACTACTATCTGGCGGGCTTCATGGACTTGGTGAAGTATGCTTAAGATGTGGGCGGATGTCGCTGAAGTCGTGAGCAAGGGTCGCTATGGACATGGGCGAGTCTTCTTTGAAAGTGGATGACTTGGTCCTCTTGAGTTGATGTGGCCGGAGTTAATTAGTTGGTGAACTCCACCCATGGGTTTGAATTTAACACAGAATTCGACTCCAGGTTTGGCCAACTGATGACGCCTTTTGACTCGGCTTGGGGCGTGTTTTGGGAGTTGACTCGCTTTTGATTTGGCTAAGTCGAGTCTATATGTTTTTTTAAGCTAGGTCGATGGAGGCGTAATGTTTAGGAAATTTAAAGCAGACAAATATTTGTGTGCTTGCCGATCGACCACGAGCTTTAGCGCGGTCGACCACAAACGTGTACGGGTACATGGTAGTTTCTGGAGTTCTGGTCGGTCGACCACGAGGTTAGGTCCGGTCGACCGCGAGGTTAGGTCTGGTCAACCGCGGGCCTTGTAGTAGATTTTTTTTAGTTTCTGTCATTTTATCTAGTTGACCGTGAACTTTAGCGCGGTCAACTGCCAGTCAGATTTGGGCCTGGGCTTTATTTCCTATGCTGATTTGGTTCATATTTTGATATATATTGAAACATGATTTTAGGGTTTTGTTTACCAGAGAATAGAGAATCTAAGCACTTTGAGAGTGAGAACTTGGGAGCGAGTTGAGAGATTATTTGTTAGGGTTTGTTCGAGTGTTTGAGTGATTGTAACCCTTTTGTGCTCTCCTCGAAATAGTGACATCTCCCTATCCTCTCCCCGACCTAGGTAAATTACTGAACCACGTATATCTCAGTGTTTGCGATTGGTTTGTCGTATTTGTTTGGATTGTGCTCGAGTTTGGTTAGTTAATCTTCTCCCGTGGCTCGCGGACTCATTTGGCTGTCGAGCATGCTTCCGCATGGCGCGCAATAATTGGTATCAGAGCTCAGATTTAAGATCTAGAATTTTGGCATTCGGTGGAGAAAGATTCATCGTGAAAGCTTGATTCTTGGAGTTCTAGGCTTCGGTGGAGATAGTGTTTGGGGTTGCTATTGAAGACTTTGTTTTCCTTATGTGGTTAGGAGATCTATTTGGAATCCGTTCTAGGGTTCAGTTGGGTAATTTCTAAATTCTATCAAGTTTAAATTTTTTTTCTCTACAATTTAGAGTTTGGGAGTATTAGAGAAGAAGTTGGTGAAAGCAGAAAGATGGCGGGTATAGTTCAAGTTGGTTTTTAGAACACTAAAATTAGTGTGGTTAAATATGACGGTAAGATTAATTTTGATTTGCGGATGAATGGCGTACATGATGCGCTCAATGCTCAGAATTTAGAGAAGACCATCATGGTCCATGAGAGGCCACCAAAATATAAAGGGGCGGTATGTGAAAAGATGAATAGGAACGCTTGTGGGGTGATCAGGTCCTGTTTGGAACAGGAGCTGAAGTATGATGTGATTGGAGTGACGTCTGTAATGAAGATGTAGGAGATTCTCAATAATAAGTACCTAACGAAGAGTATTAAGAACCGTTTGCACTTACTGCGAAGATTTTTTAGATTTTAGATGTCCAGGGGCATCTCACTAGCAGTTCATATGAATAACTATACTAAGTTATTGTCGGACTTGGCCAATGTGGATGACAAAATTACGGATGAGTATAAGGCTATTATTTTTTTGGGCTCCTTACTGGATGAGGAGTATGATACCTTCGCGCTTACTTTGTTGAACGGGAGATCTTCTATCACATATAGCTAAGTTACTAATACTTTGATGAACTATGATTTGAGGAGAAAGGACAAGGAGACTTCCCACGCTAGTACTTTAGAAGAGGCATTGTTGACGAGAGGTAGAAGCCCATATCCGAGAGGTGGTAATAGGAACAGGTCAAAGTCTAGAGGCCATCACCAGTTAGCAAAGAACCAATGTGCGTTCTGTAACATGGACATTAGAAGAGAGACTGTCCGAAGCTCAAAGAGAAGGAGAATAGCAAGAAGAATGGCCCGAAGGCCAATGAGGTGAATGTTGTAAAAGGCGATGATTCCGATGATTCAAGCTTTTCTCTATTGATTACTTCGGAGGTGAACCATGTGGATGTATCAGATTGGATGCTTGATTCTGGCGCTACTTATCATGTGACTCCTAGACGAGATTGGTTTTTATTATTTGAGAGACTTAATTGAAAGTACCATAATATCACTAGGAAAGAACCCTAGAGGGGGTGAATAGGGTTTATGCTAATCTAATCTGATTTATGCCAATTTAAAAAACTTTACTAACAAATATATCCTAGCACAAGAGATATAAACAATATATGTGCAAGGATAATAAACCAAGGGCAATATGAACACGAACAAGATAGTGGGAATATAAACAAAGGGCAATATGAACACGAACAAGATAGTGGGAATATAAACAATAAGCAATAGACAAAGGCGATATAAGATATGAACACAAAAATAAGAAGATAGTGGGAATATAAACAATAAGCAATAGACAAAGGCGATATAAGATATGAACACAAAAATAAGTGAGCTAATATAATCACAAACAAACAATATGATTACGGAGTTCGGTCCCCACAACCTACGTCTCTGTTCCTCACCTCGAGGAGATCTCCACTATCACAACCGGGTTTTCTACGCTCACCCGAATAATGTTTACACATCACACTCGATTTTCTAGCTCACCGAAAACTTTACAATCCACACTCTTATAATCACACTATATACCCTCTAAGTGTTGGTCTCTAGCTCGTGTCTCCCTCAAGTATTAGGAATTACAACCTACCTCTAGGCATTACCATCAACCCCACTCCTTTTGGGACGACCCCGTCTCCCACCACACATTTCTCTCGGTGTACAAGTGTATTACAAAGTGTTCTCACAATTAAGCTCACAAAATCAAATGATCGTTCTCTAAACAAGGTGAGAACACAATATAAGCTCACTCTCAATGTCACAAACCCACAACCACAAATAATACTATGAATGTAAATACAATAAGCTCAATGGTTGTGTGTGAACAAAGAGATTTAAATCAAAGATAAACTCAAATAAATTCTAGCTTATGGAAATGAAAATCAAACATATAAATAGCTAGATATGAGTTTAGAAAAACGTCTCTATATATAACAAGAGAGAGAGGGAGATGAGTTGAATGCCCAAACACAATTGATGATCTCCTCAAGCCCTTGTGAAAATTTTTTCACAAAACCAAACTTGTAAACACACTTTTAAACAAACACAAAACACCCTTTAAACTTGTTTAAACAATTCTCTTAACTACCTAAAACTAAGGATATATGGGGGTATTTATAGGAACCCTAAAGCCAAGAGAAAACAATGCAAAAAGACCAAAAACCCAAAACTGGAACATGCTAGAAAAAACTAGCCGTTATAGAATCAGTCGACTGACGGCTTTCATCAGTCGACTGATGAGCTGACCGTTAGAGGTATTTACCAGCTCATCAGTCGACTGACGACCTTATCAGTCGACTGATGACATCATCAGTCGACTGATGACATCATCAATCGACTGGTCAGTCGACTAAAATAAAACAAAAACTTTTTGTTATTCCAGGCGATTTATTCAGTCAACTATACACATTCATTAGTCGACTGATAACATTGTATCAGCCTGATTAAAACAGTAAATCTGATTTTTAAAGTGCCTTTAAAAAATAGCAAACAAATTCCAAAATTTATGAAACTTTTGAAAATGATTATAGACATGATAATACATATGTTACAAAAACTAGTTTTCAAAAATCACCTCCCATTTGAGAAATCTTATCATTTTTCAAACATGTCCAAAACATGAAAACATGAGATACTTGAATTTTGATATTTTGACATAAACAAGTTTTGAAAATTTGTAAAACAATTTTATAGACTTGATAAAAGATGTATACAGTGAATGT